AGTGACATAAACACAGACACCACCAGTCTTTTTACCAGTTACTTGACCGTCTCTATCCAGTCGCATAGAGGTATTAAAACTTGAATCTGTAGGGAATCATCAGCAATAGTGTTATTCAGTCTGGTTTCTGTGAAACAAGTAGACATGATACTCGATATTCATATAGGTATCGACACATCCTTCGAGTTTTGGTAGTTGTTGTCGTAGGGATGTGACCTGTGACCTTGGAAAGTAATAATGTACGCAAGGAGGGTGAGTCTTTCTTGATCTGATTCGTTTTCTGAGTCCTCCTTTCTTACCTCGTTTATATTGGGGCGGTGGGGTAGCCTAGTGGTTAAAGCGTTGGCTCGTCACGCCGAAGACCCGGGTTCGAATCCCCACATGGGTACATTGTGTGAAGCTCATTTCTGGTGTCCCCCGCCGTGATATTGCTGGAATATTGCTAAAAGCGGCGTAAAACCAAACTCACTCACTCACTCGTTTATATTGTTCTAGACTAACGAGCAGTCTCTGAAATGAACATATTTTACACAAAAAAGCTCATAGTAAAAAAAATAAAAATATAATGAACAGGAGCCCTAAGACTTTTTTCATTTCCTGAAGCTGTGGAAATCTAGACTTGCTACATTTTCTAGACTTGCGTGGGCTTTCTTGGATATATTTGCTTCAGGGTCTGTATGACAGACTAATATTGAGTTATTTGAGTTATTTTAGGATATTCATTTACATTTAATTTGAAACCCACGTACAGTTTTCGTTTGGTACATATACCTTTCTGAGGAATGTGTTGAACTGAGTCTGTTTCAGTTCGCCCACAGATGATACCATTTAGAAGTACCATTAACATGTTCGTACCATTTGGTGTCCTGCGACGAAGTGACACCCTTATATTGTGGTGACATGACTTTGAAATAAAGAATGTGCGTTGGTAAAGGGTCAAAAGTGAGTGAGTTTAGTTCTAAGCCGCTTTTAGCAATATACCAGCAATATCACGGCGGGTGAGACCAGAAATGGGCTTCACACATTGTGCCCATGTGGGGAATCGAACCGGGGTCTTCGGCTTGACGAGCGAACGCTTTAACCACTAGGCTACCCCACCGCCCCCGCGTTTGTAAAGGGAACATCCATTAGCATTAAACTGACCATCCAGAAAATATCTTATCTGATAACAAGATCTGCCAACCTGGCGGACAATATCTCATTCGGAAACCTGGACAGACACATCCTTGCAGTATGTATCGACCTCCCACATATACAACACAGAGTTGTGCGTAGGAATATGATCTGGTGAATTGATAGGGACCGACGAGATCCTCAAATTAGTTGGAATCCTCTTTTCCATGTAAACCACCCGAGAACGTTCATTACGACGCTGGAAACAATCAATATCTCACAATAATGAGGCGCCATGGGCGAACTCCCAGCACAAACAAACAAAGGCGGGTATTATTTGATATTTATACTGGAACTAATTACATGTATAACATTGTGGAGCCTTTCCGCGTGATGATGAAACTGTTTTCCTTTTAAGATACTTGGCGTTCAGCGTATTACTGATACTGTTGCACGTTTTAGATACTTGGCGATTCGCGTGTTGATGAAACCGTTTTCGTTTTACCTGTTGATTCCGAGGCTGAAGCTACATTTTAGCCGGAAATCAGCATGTAAAATAATTCGATTTGAAACCGACAAATAACAAAGCAGTGTGATATAATTAACAATTGCATTCTAAGATTAACTAAGTTTACAAATTAATACAAATCACAGGTAGTAAAGTGGCAGTACAAAATACAGTACAAATTCAAGAGCAATAAAACACAAAAGCAGAGACAGTAATATTCACCTCATTCAACAATGGTCAATAGGGTTAGGCTGAATATCCAGGGGAAGAACGATTTCCACACAATACTGGTCTTCTTGTAACGTGAGGTGTAATATGAAATGAGAAACACAAGTTATTTCTCCTTAATATACTTGAAACAAAAAGACTCTGGAAGACTCTCGAACTCCCTGGGTCAGAAAACCCCATACGGTTGTAGTACTTGTAGTATATTCCAGAACTGTGTCTAAATATAGCACAGGTAAAATATAGCACTCCCCAGGCCTTCACTGACTATCCAGTACAATGTCCGAAGCCCATTTCCGGTGTCCCCTGTCGTGATATTCCTAGAATATGTCTAAAGGTGGCGTAAAACAAACTCCCTCATCTATAGCTAGGAACCGATAATTAAGTATATATGTGTGGGATATTTATCAGAAACAGATTATGTTGTGCTCAATATTCAAAATAGTCAATTTGTTTCCTCGAAAAGGAGGCATCGAACAAACATATCTATTTCAGTGATAGAATTGTGTCCCTTACACACCTCAAACCTCTGGTTGTGGACTCGAATTCCGGTTCACCCCGGTTAGGTTTCCATGTTTTTCCGCAAGATATCCCAACTGATGGGTTTCACCAAAGGGGTAACCGTCTTGAAACGGTCACTTTGGGATTTCCTTCCTCATTAAGTTCTCACTCACTCACTTATAGAATTATCACTCACTCACTCATTCACTCACTCACTCATTCACTCATTCACTCACAGTGATGTCATGTCAACGACCTCCCCTGACCAAAGACGACAACGCTGTAATAAGATCTGGACACATGCATGAAGTATCGATTATACGAGACAGCAGCCCCCATCTGTACACAGGAACAACTGATCATGTGATGAACTGTAAGAGAGAAGAGGCGGGGCATCACAACGCTATATAGCATTCGTAACTTTACCTTTAATCAAGCAACAGGTGTCGCCGCCAGTTCTTGCAGGATCTACAGGTGAGATTATCTCTGATTTTCAAGCCCATGAAACCCACCAGGAAAAAGGTTACTCTAAATACATATATACGTCAATGTGGAATAGCCATTTCAAAAATCGCATCCGGTATTAGTGTTTTCACGAACTTATGAGCAGTAAATGGATTTTCAGAAACCGAAATTCATATTCCAGAACTATTTTGCATCAGATGAATATGTAAAAGTTACATGGAAGTTCACGATAAACGTAATTAAGGATGGTGCCTCTAATTTTGTCCAGGTGTATATTTTCTTGAACAAATTCTTGTATGTTTCCTAAACGTGCAAGTGCAAATTATATTCCATATCATCTGACTGGATATTTGACTTAACTGCGCACAGTGTCATGTCATTGTCTGGTACTCATGTCGTGTACTGGGAAATAGCATTAGCGGTGATTTGTTCAACTTTGGGGGCGGTGGGGTAGCCTATTGGGTAAAGCGTTCGCCCGTCACGCCAAAGGCCCGGGTTCGATTCCCCTCATGGGTAAAATGTGTGAAGCCCATTTCTGGTGTCCCCGCCGTGTTATTGCTGGAATATTGCTAAAAGCGGCGTAAAATCAAACTCACTCATTCAACTTGTTCAACTTTGCTTTAGGTTATAACTTACTCTTTGCACAGTTCATTTCTATCCGTTTTCACGAAAGTTTCAATGGTCATTTAATAAACTTCCAGGACAAAAGGGGAGATGCGCACCCCTGCACCCCCTCTGGATCCGCCTGAGGAGATATCCATGGGAGGACCCAGTTTGTAGTCTTAAATACGTTGGTGAGGGTGAGGATGGGTTTGAGGGTGAGGATGAGGATGAGGATGAGGATGAGGATGAGGATGAGGGTGAGGGGTGAGGATGAGGATGAGGATGAGGGTGAGGATGAGGATGAGGGTGAGGGTGAGGGTGAGGGTGAGGATGGGTTTGACGGTAAGGTTGAGGGTGAGGGTGAGGGTGAGGGTGAGGGTGAGGGTGACAGGTTCCACTGAAGAAAGACAAAAAGGTGAAGCACATTTTACCTGTGTATCGTCTTTAAGACCTGTTCCGGCCGGTGATTACCATTGGTTGTGATGTTGCGTTGACGTTTCGTATTGTTTATTCGAGGGTATATTATACGTCAGTGTTCTACATAGTACACATCTATATTATCGTATTGCATGAGGGTTGTATTTGTAATTAGGATTTAACTGTCGAGATATAGCAGTATGTATGACAATGAAATAAGCGAAAACAAACGTGATAAAAACACTCACAGTGAATGTAGTCAATGGGGCTTATTTTTCAAGAAGTCATTAATATTTGAACTCTTCGACCAAAGCTCATTTTCATTTTCTTGGGTACGTAAAGGCAGTTATATCAAAGATATGACGAAAATGATAACTAATTTTTAAAACAAAATCGTTAAGATTCAAAATTGATATGTTTCTTGTACATTCACTTCATCATGGTATATGCAAGTGATGGACAGAAGAACAATGGCATAGTCGAGTGCCCAACGGATTCTTATCATGAGACGTCCTTTCAAAAACACTAACTCAAAATCCTGTTATTTGCTTGTATGTGAAATAAGGCATGCATCTAATATATATAACGTTAATGCCAGAAAATAACCAGCCTCGGCTATCCGCCCAAAACAGATTTCGTTGGGAGTTAACGGCAAAATAGTGGTGACAATAATGTATGAATGAATGAATGAACGTCAGTGATGACACCAGGTGTTCAGGGACATGCAAGCACACAAGATTCATCCAAGCATGATTGTTGGTATGTCAAAAACATATGCCCGGTTGTGAGTGTGCCGACGCGGTATATGTAAGGGACATGCACTTCATTTAACGTTATTTCCACATCAAACCCGTGTAATACTGTTTGAAAAGCGCCACACATATATAAATCGTTCACTCTAACCGCCGCCGAGAAATACTCTTCTAATATGATCAGTATGATATTCTCACGCGAAGGTTATTCGTCTTTCTGTCCCATCAGGTAATACTGCCCAGTAGCAGGTGTTGTTAAGCTGTTGAAATGTACGTGCAGATCTGTCTGACGATACTATAACTCATCCATTATTCTCATGTGCATAAAACAAGTATTTATTTGTATAACCAGCATATATGTATTTCTTGTTCTGCGATTTTCACGATTTTTCATATTCGCTTTCAGTCCGTCCGGAATGAAAGAGGATATCATGGCGCTCAACGTCACAGACAACGTCGACTTCTACAGGGGCCCGCTCAGCCAACGTGCCTACTTCGTCATGGGCATCTACATGACCATTTTAGGTAACGACATTTTATCACACCACTACCTCAGAAGAGAGAGAGAGAGAGAGAGAGAGAGAGAGAGAGAGAGAGAGAGAGAGAGAGAGAGAGAGAGAGAGAGAGAGAGAGAGAGAGAGAGAGAGAGAGAGAGAGAGAGAGAGAGAGAGAGAGAGAGAGAGAGAGTGGGGAGGGGGTGGAGGGTCTGTCATTGTTTTCGTCATAAATAATAGAAAGTCTGTTTACTTTGTTTAAGGGTTACAGATTTCATGCTGACTGACGAAGTACCTGTGATTCACAATAAGAGTACTTGAATTATGTGCGAGAAAAGAGTACTACAATATTAAAATATACATTGCCATGCACTGTTTAATACCAGCGTTGGTGTTTCCTCAGATCGAGAACAGAACCCAAAACAATGGAACCATGCCATTTCATATAATATCTGAACACTAACGAGTTCACTCACCCGTGGTCCCTGAATAAACCTTAGAACAGACCATTCTCTTTTGCTTTCGTTTCGAACAATTTTGCAAAGTTTGGCAAGCGCAAACACATCTGCCCATTTTGATTAACTTTGTTCAAAAGTCAATTTTCCTCATTTGTCGAGCGTTCTTGGATCAGCAGATCTCGGGCAGCACTAGCACAGATAGGCATATAAACATATAATATTAAAGATATAATATTAGGCATATAAATTCAAAATTAGTCTCTGTTTAAACCAACACGTTGTAATGAGTCTCCGGCAGTAATTATTAGCTACATTTCAGGCAGCGAAGTAATCACAGAACACATATGCCATGTCTTCTATACATATTGAGATGTGTTCCCCTGTCCACATGGCTCAAGAATTACCTTGTTATAATCCAGTTTGTCTGTGAAAGATAGGAGTTGCCTGATCACAAAGAAAGTTAATTTGTCAGCTGAGTCGGTGTTAGTGTTGGGAATTGGTTAAAACCTCATAATTGATAATTGCTTCATTACAACCGATCAATCATCGAAAATAATTGGTTAGCGTCATTTATGATATTTTCCTGGTTATTTTTGTTAATGCACAAAAACATAAAGAAAAAAACATGTAGTTCTATGGGTTTTTTTTGGCAATTTTCACATCTTGAAAGGATGACGAGTACGTTAGGAACATAAATGTCCTGATGTCTTTAAGATAAATTCAATCATGACTTGGAACAAGCATTTAGTGCTTATGAAATGTAACTGACAAAACCAACCTTGTGAAAAATATTGTTAATGCTAAAAGTGTTCCAGAATTGTTTGTGTTCGATTATGAGAAAACATGATCGATTGCTTGGTCGTTTAGTCACTGCGACCAATCTTCGATTATTTCAATTAATCGGACCACGACTAGTCGGTGTATTGCAACCGAATAGTCATCTTCGAATATTTACTATGCTATCGCGCCATGTTTTTATGGCCTTCGAAAATAAAGACATCAGTAGGGGAGACCGGGGTTAATTGTAACACTTTTTACTTAACTTCTTGTAGTTCGATCCCAGACGACCGCTCACAAAGTTAATCGGTACTAACTAGTACATTGGCTTCTTGGCTTTAAACCTCAGTGTCGTTTCAAGTTCACTATCATGTCTTTACAAAGTTATCACGTATCAAATGCAATGACTACAAGTGTTCCAATTGACCCCTAGCACGGGGCAATTGTAACAGGTGGATGGGGCAATTGTAACACAGAAGGTTCAAATGTAACAATTTGTTTATTTTCCAAATAAAATCAAAATAAAATGGGGAAAGATGTCATCTTGATCAGTTGAGGTGGAAATGGATTAACAATAAACCTTTATCACCATCGACATTTAAAATGTTTTTGGTTTAAAATTCTTGTATTGGTATGCCCACAACATAATACACAGACTAACACCAAAATATGTCACCCGATGGCTGATACTATCAACATAACACTGAACATGTTCTACTATGATAAAACTAGTAAAGAACTAACATAAAACCTTCGTCATAATTTGCTTCATTATCATAACAAGGAAAAATTACATGGGGCAATTGTAATACAGTGTTACAATTGCCCCTAATGGCAGTAGCTATATTTCCTGCCACGTCACACGTTAACAACCTTGGGTTTCTCAAATATTTCTACTTCCAAATATGTCGTAATATCTAAATTTTACACTTGAAAAGTTAATTTCATACCAAACACCATTTACTGAATTAAGAACGCTTTAAAACGTTTTGTGAAAAATTTACTTACCTATGTGAAAACGATTTTTCGTCAACTGTATCTCGCCATAAGCGAGCAGATGAAAAACGCCTGGATGAGTACCGCAGAAAAGTAAAGGGAAATAACTCTACTCACCTACACTATGCTTGAGCGAAAACTTTTAGAGTAATCGTTCTTGTTACAATTGACCCCGGTCTCCCCTATAGTTAGCGTAAGGTATGAGCGGGAACCTCGAGCTCATTTCTGTATACACTGTGGTATCGTAATATATAAATGTATGGCTATTATCGAAATATAGTTCAGATTGGTTTAAATAACAAGTCTCCGACCCGAGGTAGAATTTGTGACGGCATCTCATTGCTGATCTTTAAGATGCTAGTAAATGCTCTGCCCGTTAAGATTCAGGTTAGAACTGATCTTCAGTAACTCATGATTATCGTAAAAGGCGACTAACGGGATCGGGTGTTCAGACTCGCTGACAGTTGATGCATGTCTTCGCGCCACATTTGTACTCATGGTGTGAAATACTACCTGATCCAGACTCGATTATTTGCAGACCGCCGCCATATAGCTAGTTTATTGACGAGTGTCTCGGTAAACAAACAAATAAACAATCAAATAAACAAACAAACCCAAAATGTTTTTTCATCTTCCTGCTATTGCCTTAAAAGAGCTATCATACGTTTCTCAAAGGTTTTAATCGATATATTATGTTTTCCAAGACAAATGTTTTCCAAAGTCATTATAAGAAGATACGCGTTTCAAATGTTTCATGTCTGTCAAAATGATATTACACTCATCTTCGCCCGTTGTATACGTGTGTGACACAACATACGTGGACACTGTCACAGAAAACAGGTGCTTCCTGTTCTAGCCACACTGCTCATAACCATACCAAACGCTAACATTCAAGTTCGACTGTCTTTTAGAAGGTTATCAACAAGGAAGAAAAGCAAACTTTGATATGACAGAGCATTGTGTCAAAATCTCACTTATTTTCTACTCAAGATTTTTTTTTTTCTTGTGGGAAATTCATTTTATATATTTCATAAACTTAACCATAACGTTGCGCTAAAGAGATCAATTGTGAAAACTAGCGATTTCAGGGGCGGAACCAGGATTTTGGATAAGGGGGTTGGGGTGGTGCACTTATAAACCGACAGTGACGTCACTCTATTGTTCTTAGGGGACACTTTTTCTCGTTACACCACGTGGGCGCCGAATGGACTCGTACATTGCTTGTTGCACGTGCGTTTCCTGCACCGCCCAGGTCGTTATCCACATATCAACCTCTGCACGTGCAGACAGAAGGTTGATACGCAGAAAATCAACCTGCCGGAACAATGGACATAACACACCCTAGTGGTATAATGAAAAGTAAGCCCTCTTCCCTTGGGAAATAACTCCGGCCCGCGGGCATTTCCCAAGGGAAGAGGGCTTACTTTTCAATAGGCCTATAGTTTGGCATGAAATGCATGTGGACCCGTTTTTTTTTGTAAATATCTCTTCATCCAATGATCCAATCGATCTCAAACTGTGCAAGTGGATGTTTTGTCAGACAACCTAATCACATTGTAAATCACCGATTTTATGCATTTGTATTAAAGAATCTGTCTATGTAACTGTCAACAAAATAAACAGCAGAACGCAGACTGCTTGCAGAGGGAGGGAGCCAATGACCTGTAACAGCGGCAGTGTTGGGTCATAAAGGTAAATGCACGTGCAAGTTCATGATAGTTACCTGTGCACTGCACAGTGATAGACCGTTTGGATCATTCACATTGACTACTTCTAGCTGTCATCATGAAAGCTTATTCAGATGATGCTAAACGTTTAATTAGAAATGTGTTTAATTTTTTTTTAAAAGAGAGAAAACGTAGCAAACCTATTTATAAGGTGTCGGATTACATGAAAAGTACAACTTTTCGGTAGCGACGTCTACGGACGGGATCTCTCTGCTGTCCTTGGATCTGCTGAATTTTTACTTCAGTAGATAACTGTTCTTTTTGTAGCATTCGCACAACCTCAAATACATTCGGATGTGTCTTCATGGCATACTTGTTGATTTTGTTGTGCCAACCTTCCAAATTATTGTTAGTTCTGTGTCCATCATTTTCAAAATGATATCAAGTTGGTAATGGTAATCCTTCCACTCGCATAACGTAAAATAATAGTCTGTTTTTGCAACCTTAATTCTCTTGCAAATTGTTAAAAAGACATTCTCTTTAATCAACTTAATTCATTTACTCATGATACGAGCATAGCTGTAGCCACCATAGCCACTTGCAAACCACTAAGCAAATAGACTATAGTATGGTGGCTGATTAGGGCCATCGCTTCCTCGCCTTAAAATTCGGAGGCGAGAAAGCGAGAAAGCGATATCACGAGAGAAAGCGATGGCCCTAATCAGCCACCATACTATAGCCTTGAACAAAAGCTCACGCTTCAGTGGCTAATGCTAATTACCTTGTTCGCATCTCTGACCTATCCATAGTGCAATGTTGTCTTACAAGACCTTTTTAGGAAGACTCTGGCTAAGTGCTAGTGAACCCACATGGCCAAACGTACAGGCGCTTAACACGTCTCCCTTTCATATTTCTCACGTTTTCAATTTTTCTTTTCTGATGGAAAATCAAGGTAATAAAAGAAACACGATCTCGTTAGGGCCACTGTTATGGCGTTGTAAATCAGTCATCCTAATGTCTCTTTTCTGAAGCTTGATGAAGACTGAAGAGAATTGTGAAAACGAGTGAAGTAGTATGATTATTATTATTTGATGGATCACGATTTCTGTTAGAGTTTCTGTTTTGGTTTTCTAGCATATATCTGTAATGTTTGCTAAGTCTTTTAACAAAAAGGATAGAAACTATCCCTCCAAGTGGTTTTTTTTTTATTTAGCTTTATTTTATCTTAAAGATTGAATAATTGTCTATACGTCATCGATCAAAGATTACTTCTACATTTTTTCTTCAGAAAATACAATATTAAACAATTTAAAAGTTATTTTTAAAACATATTTTCGTACAATGCACAAATGCAGATGGGTATCGTAGACATTTTAACTTTACAAACATGGTAGGAGTGACACAATTTGATATTCATTTCTTACCCCAGTGTTCATTTCGTCAATTTATGATTTTTACACAAAATTACCATGTCACATATTACCGTGTACAAACTGATGCAGGGATGACTCATGGTTGTTAGTACGGTTCAATTACTTAGACAAACTAACGACACCGTTTTCACAATCACAATCTTTACAGGTTTACAATCATTCTTTACAAGCAAGATTCGCGATTTCCTTGGCTAGATACATTTCCTGATGAACATCTTGCGGCAATATTTATTGATGGATCTATTTATTGGACGCAATGATCCGTTGTGCCTCTCGTTGACTCACTGTACTCTAATGATGCCATGAAGACTCAAACAATGAACAGTAGAGTATCAAAGCGGCATGCTGTGATTCCAAATCAGAACAATGTATTATAATTACATTTCTTTCCACATTCCTTTCAAATGTTTGATACCTGGATCTGCACTCAATGTTTCCGATGATTAACGGCGGTCTGTATCTTGTAGTGAGTGAGTTTAGTTTTACGCCGCACTCAGCAGTATTCTAGCTATATGGCGGCGGTCTGTAACTAATCGTGTCTTGACAAGACAATCCAGTGATCAACATCATGAGCATCGATCTACGCTATTGGGAACCGATGACATGTGTCAACCCAGTCAGCGAGCCTGACCACCCGATCCCGTTAGTCGCCTCTTACGACAAGCATGAGTTACTGAAGATCAATTTGAACCCGGATCTTCACGGGTCTGTAACTTGTAGAATACAGAAAAAAAAACAATCCAGTGATTGAGAACATCGCTGTATGACATGAACCGTTAAGCACGGGTTACTGAAGACCGAATATAACCCTTTTTGGAATATTTAATAATTTAATATTTTTACATCAATTGTAGAAAAACGTTTAAGAATCTGGTTAGATATTAATGAACTAATTGCTGAATCTCAAGCTGTGTTTCGCCCAGGGTATTCCACTGTAGACCAAGTATTTACTTTACAGGCCTTATGTACGAAATATCTGAGTAAGCACAAAGGTAGATTTTACTGTGCATTTATAAATTTTAAAAAGGCCTTTGACCTCGTTGACAGAAGAACATTGTTATATCTCCTTGTAAAAAATGGATGTCATGGTAAAATCTATAATGTCTTAAAAAACATGTATTCCTCCGTAAAAGCAACTTGTTAAAGTGTGTAATCATAAGACAACTTCTTTCAGTACACCAGCTGGAGTTAAACAAGGGTGAATTTTTAGCCCTGTACTATTTATATTCTTTATCAATGAACTTGTACAGGAAATTGATAAAGCCTGCAATTACGGTATATTTTTTAACCAGAGTATTGACGACTTAATGTTGTTGTTATTTGCAGATGATGTTGTTTTATATTCGTTTTCCACCATTGGCCTACAAAGGCATTTTGTGTGTAAAACATAGACAAATAAAAAATCATTGTTTTCAGAAATGGAGGTATACTTTCCAAGCATGAAAAATGGACTTATAATAACATAAATCTTAACATGTAACTTATTACAAGTACTTGGGTATTGTGCTTTCCTCAAGATTGATATGGACAAAGGCCTGTGAAACTTTGGCTATACAAGCACGTAAAGCAATGGAACCAGTGTTGATTTTGTTGAACAAACTGCCTGTAAAATATATGATTCCAAAATATGTTCTATTCTCACATATGGGTCAGAAATCTGGGGGTAAAATACCACGAAGTTATAGAAAAAGTACAAACAAGCTTCCTCAAAAGATTTCTGGGGGTGGGTAAATATGCCGCGAACAAAGCTATTCTTGGAGAAACCGGACGATACTGTTTATTCATAAAAACACAGATGAAAGTTATAAAATATTGGATTAAGTTACAAAGAATGAATGTTTCACGTCATCCTTTACATTGTTATGAATTGCTTAAATTACATGACGAACATGGTAAAATTAACTGGGTTTCTCACGTTCGTGAGATGTTATTTACAAGCGGTTTTAGCTATGCATGGATTATGCATGATGTCGGTGATGCCACTATTTTCATATCTACATTAAGAAGACGTTTGATTGATATGTACATTCAATCCTGGCAGCAAAGTATTGAATCATCATCATATTTGTCACACTATTCTAGTATAAAGAACTTATTCCAATACGAAACATATATCCATAAACTTGAAAATAGAAACTTAGTTAGATCGATGTGTAAATTTCGTATATCTCTCCATGATTTCAGGGTTAATCAAAAAAGAAACTCAATGATAATTCTGATATAGAATCTATTTGTTTGGACTGTGATATGAATGTTGTAGAAAATTAATACCATGTTTTCGTTATCTGTAATAGATATTTTCTGACTGTAATGAATACCTTTTGTCCATCAAAAAATATTGTAAAACTAGATTAACATTGCAACAAATATTGAACACATCTGATGTAAATATATTACATTTAACATCTATATATTTGCTAAAAATATTTAGCTTAAGATCTTCTCAATGTCATTTTGGTCATGTGACAACGACTGTATACCTTACAATACAATTGTACTATGGGCCATGTGTCCTAAAATACGGAATAAAATTTGATTGTTGATTATAACCTGGATTTTCCCTGGTGTAAATGTCTAGTACAAAGCAATGTGCGCATATTATTTGCTCATGAATATCGGTGTATGATAAAGATCGTCTGTCTGGAGGATTGAAGGACATGTACTGAGACGTAGTGTCAATGTTAATACGCCGAATGTTTTAACGAATATCTATACCCGTGTTATATGCTCCAGACTAGTACATTCATATGTTTACTGATAGCATCTCTAATGATATGTACCCAAGTAAGTCACAAACTTTTTATATGTAAACAATTATATTTATGATTTAATCAACCATATCTCATTAATTTTCTTATTTATTTCATGAAATTGTGATGTGCAGAAAAAACCTGTAAACTTCTAATTACATTTATACCCGGAAGTGAAGTTCCGTGTTTATACTTTAAACCGGCTTATTTTTTTCAAACTTATGAAATAATATGTGCATGCGAAACTGATTATTACATGACAAAATACTGGAAGATTTAAACTAGCGCTGGGTCTCTGAAAATAGCTATGCGTAATTTAATACACATGAAGTGAGGATATACGAGTACGTTAATTAGGATCTCCTTAATTAACCGTTGTGGCCACACCTGTTGATGATGAAGGTGGGGTTTAGAATAATGTTTCTCAAAGATGATTATGAAGATGGGGTTTAGAATAATGTTTCTCAAAGATGATGATGAAGGTGGGGTTTAGAATAATGTTTCTCAAAGATGATGATGAAGATGGGGTTTAGAATAATGTTTCTCAAAGATGATGATGAAGGTGGGGTTTAGAATAATGTTTCTCAAAGATGATGATGAAGGTGGGCTTAGAATAATGTTTCTCAAAGATGATGATGAAGATGGGGTTTAGAATAATGTTTCTCAAAGATGATGATAAAGATTGGGGTTTAGAATAATGTTTCTCAAAGATGATGATAATGATATGATATACATATTTCAGGTTTTGCAGCCTACATAGGCAATGGGCTGATTCTTTTCCTGTTCGTAAAAAACAAGCTTTTCCGTCAAGCTCACATCAACCTTTTCATCGTCAATATCGTCGTTTGCAACATCGGGGAGTCTCTGTTGGGTTTCCCGTTCGGCGTCGCTTCACATTTCTCAAAAAGGTAGGTGTAACATGTATACTGCTTCACATTTCTTATATAGGTAGGTCTAACTAGAGCATGTACGACACTTCACATTTCTCATATAGGTAGGTGTGAGATGTATACTGCTTCACATCTCTCATATAGGTAGGTGTGACATGTATACTGCTTCACATCTCTCATATAGGTAGGTCTAACTAGAGCATGTCCATTGCTTCACATCTCTCATATAGGTAGGTGTGACATGTATACTGCTTCACATCTCTCATATAGGTAGGTGTGAGATGTATACTGCTTCACATCTCTCATATAGGTAGGTGTGACATGTATACTGCTTCACATCTCTCATATAGGTAGGTGTAACATGTATACTGCTTCACATCTCTCATATAGGTAGGTGTGACATGTATACTGCTTCACATCTCTCATATAGGTAGGTGTGACATGTATACTGCTTCACATCTCTCATATAGGTAGGTCTAACTAGAGCATGTACATTGCTTCACATCTCTCATATAGGTAGGTGTGACATGTATACTGCTTCACATCTCTCATATAGGTAGGTGTGACATGTATACTGCTTCACATCTCTCATATAGGTAGGTGTAACATGTATACTGCTTCACATCTCTCATATAGGTAGGTGTGACATGTATACTGCTTCACATCTCTCATATAGGTAGGTGTGACATGTACACTGCTTCACATCTCTCATATAGGTAGGTCTAACTAGAGCATGTACATTGCTTCACATCTCTCATATAGGTAGGTGTGACATGTATACTGCTTCACATTTCTCATATAGGTAGGTGTGACATGTACACTGCTTCACATCTCTCATATAGGTAGGTGTAACTAGAGCATGACATGACACTGCTTCACATTTCTCATATAGGTAGGTGTGAGATGTATACTGCTTCACATCTCTCATATAGGTAGGTCTAACTAGAGCATGTACATTGCTTCACATCTCTCATATAGGTAGGTGTGACATGTATACTGCTTCACATCTCTCATATAGGTAGGTGTGACATGTACTCTGCTTCCCAATTCCTCAAATAGGTAGGTGTGACATGTATACTGCTTCACATCTCTCATATAGGTAGGTGTAACATGTATACTGCTTCACATCTCTCATATAGGTAGGTCTAACTAGAGCATGTACGACACTTCACATTTCTCATATAGGTAGGTGTGACATGTATACTGCTTCACATCTCTCATATAGGTAGGTGTGACATGTATACTGCTTCACATCTCTCATATAGGTAGGTCTAACTAGAGCATGTACATTGCTTCACATCTCTCATATAGGTAGGTGTGACATGTATACTGCTTCACATCTCTCAAATAGGTAGGTGTGACATGTATACTGCTTCACATCTCTCATATAGGTAGGTGTAACATGTATACTGCTTCACATCTCTCATATAGGTAGGTCTAACTAGAGCATGTACGACACTTCACATTTCTCATATAGGTAGGTGTAACATGTATACTGCTTCACATCTCTCATATAGGTAGGTCTAACTAGAGCATGTACGACACTTCACATTTCTCATATAGGTAGGTGTAACATGTATACTGCTTCACATCTCTCATATAGGTAGGTGTGACATGTATACTGCTTCACATCTCTCATATAGGTAGGTCTAACTAGAGCATGTACGACACTTCACATTTCTCATATAGGTAGGTGTAACTCTCATATAGGTAGGTGTGACATGTATACTGCTTCACATCTCTCATATAGGTAGGTCTAACTAGAGCATGTACGACACTTCACATCTCTCTCATATAGGTAGGGGTGACATGTATACTGCTTCACATCTCTCATATAGGTAGGTGTGACATGTATACTGCTTCACATCTCTCATATAGGTAGGTGTAACATGTATACTGCTTCACATCTCTCATATAGGTAGGTCTAACTAAGAGCATGTACGACACTTCACATTTCTCATATAGGTAGGTGTAACATGTATACTGCTTCACATCTCCCATATAGGTAGGTCTAACTAGAGCATGTATGACACTTCACATTTCTCAAATAGGTAGGTGTGACATGTATACTGCTTCACATCTCCCATATAGGAAGGTGTGACATGTATACTGCTTCACATCTCTCATATAGGTAGGTGTGACATGTATACTGCTTCACATCTCTCATATAGGTAGGTGTGACATGTATACTGCTTCACATCTCTCATATAGGTAGGTGTGACATGTATACTGCTTCACATCTCTCATATAGGTAGGTCTAACTAGAGCATGTACGACACTTCACATTTCTCATATAGGTAGGTGTGACATGTATCCTGCTTCACATTTCTCAAATAGGTAGGTGTGAGATGTATACTGCTTCACATCTCTCATATAGGTAGGTGTGACATGTATACTGCTTCACATTTCTCATATAGGTAGGTCTAACTAGAGCATGTACGACACTTCACATCTTCTCATATAGGTAGGTGTAACATGTATACTGCTTCACATCTCTCATATAGGTAGGTGTGACATGTATACTGCTTCACATCTCTCATATAGGTAGGTGTGACATGTATACTGCTTCACATCTCTCATATAGGTAGGTGTGACATGTATACTGCTTCACATCTCTCATATAGGTAGGTGTAACATGTATACTGCTTCACATCTCTCATATAGGTAGGTGTGACATGTATACTGCTTCACATCTCTCATATAGGTAGGTGTGACATGTATACTGCTTCACATCTCTCATATAGGTAGGTGTAACATGTATACTGCTTCACATCTCTCATATAGGTAGGTGTGACATGTATACTGCTTCACATTTCTCATATAGGTAGGTCTAACTAGAGCATGTACGACACTTCACATCTCTCATATAGGTAGGTGTGACATGTATACTGCTTCACATCTCTCATATAGGTAGGTGTGAGATGTATACTGCTTCACATCTCTCATATAGGTAGGTGTGACATGTATACTGCTTCACATCTCTCATATAGGTAGGTGTGACATGTATACTGCTTCACATCTCTCATATAGGTAGGTGTGAGATGTATACTGCTTCACATCTCTCATATAGGTAGGTCTAACTAGAGCATGTACATTGCTCACATCTCCCATAGGTAGGTGTGACATGTATACTGCTTCACACTCATATAGGTAGGTGTGAGATGTATACTGCTTCTCATCTCCTATAGGTAGGTGTGACATGTATACTGCTTCACATCTCTCCCATATATCTCATATAGGTAGGTGTGACATGTATACTGCTTCACATCTCTCATATAGGTAGGTGTAACATGTATACTGCTTCACATTTCTCATATAGGTAGGTGTAACATGTATACTGCTTCACATCTCTCATATAGGTAGGTGTGACATGTATACTGCTTCACATCTCTCATATAGGTAGGTGTGACATGTATACTGCTTCACATCTCCCATATAGGTAGGTCTAACTAGAGCATGTACATTGCTTCACATCTCTCATATAGGTAGGTGTAACATGTAAACTGCTTCACATTTCTCAATAAGACACAGTGTTTGCAATTGATAATTTGCACTAAACACAAGAGCAGTTCCAACAGATAGGCATGTATCATACCGTGCTTAGTATGGCATTGATCATGTAATTGGATACATCTTACTAGTAATTTACATACGCTGGTAGTCGTTCATAACGCGATATTTACAGGTGGCACTTAGATACACTGGAAGCGGTTGATAAGTTATTTACAGATAATATTTAGACACAGTACTGGTAGTATATTACGATACGGATATGTGATACTTTAGTTGTAGTTCACAATACTAATGACCGGTGATAACTTAGGCCTTTGTTAATTACGTTACATTCAGAATTAAGAAACATTATCATTTTATACATAAGTGCATTTAGAGACGTCGTTCTCTTGTGATAGTCAGTATTAGATATGCCTAATAATTCGACACATTCGCAGGTGGATATTTGGCGACATTGGCTGCAGGTTCTACGGCTTCATCTGCTTCGCCTGCTGTCTGTCCAGCATGTGCACCTACGTCGCCATCAGCGTCTACCGCTACATCGCAATCTGCCAACCAGCCGTTCGTAAGTACAGCTGTACTTGGATACCGAAACCAAGTGTTGTATCAAAGGGAGACAAATGTTGAGAAGGCTGTTCCATAGACAAAATATACAGAATTTTTCGATCACGCGGTTTAAAAAACGAGACCATTTTTTTTTTAAACTTAGAAGCAAAAAATGGAACTAATCCGACTACATCATAAGCATGTGTTTCAGAATCACTATGAAAAGGTGAAAATTATGTGCGCATTCTTCACAAAACCCACAGGAAACGTATTTACAGTAAACCACGTCTTTATCACAAACACGCATATAACAAAATAACGGTCGCGTACCGATCCGTCGAATTACTGATTTCAGAGTAGTAAAATACATTCGACGGATGAGCACTGCGATCTTAGCTATTAATTAGGTATCAAAACATTGGATCATACCAAGAAAAGACGCAAGGGATGTTGGGTGGTTTGGCTCTCTTTATTGTTGTACTTTTGTTCTTATCTTTGCCTACTCATATGATGTCATGAGAAACTGATGCATTAAATACATGAGTTTTTTCTCTTTATTTTGTACTTTTGTACAAAATTGAAATTGATGCATTAAATAAAATGCCTCCATAAGGAGAAGTATATACAAGGATATTATATCTATATCTGCATTCTACAAAATGAAACATTATTTCATCGACACACTTTCAGTTTGTAGGAATGTTACACACGATCACCATACTCCGAGTAAGTGTCCAACACAATCAATGATATTGTCTGTTTTCGATTGCTATGTTGGAAGTGTGTTGTGCTATACGTCTAAAGTATGGGGGCTCTCATAACACTGAAAACATTGACAGATTACATTTGGATTATTGTAAGCGGTTATTGGGTGTCAAAAAATCAACTTGTAATTGTATGGTTTATGACGAACTTGGTCGTTACCCTTTGCGCTACAAACGGATGTTCAATATTGTCAAGTACTGGCGCAAGCTGTTAGGAACTGATAACTATATTCTACGTGGGGTTTATGTATATCTAGATGATGAAGTGGAAACAAATAATGTTCAGAACTGGGCCTTTCAAGAATCTGGGCCTTTCAGGTTAAGAATATAGACAACTCTTGGTTTTGGTTATATATGGTATAAATGTTATAAAAATCAATTCCTGCAATTTATACAAAACATTGGTCTCAATTTCGACTATATTTTCAAGTTCACAACGGATTACCTGTACAGCTAAAGGTAAATAAAGAATTGAATTGAATTGAGTTAAAACTATTTAAGAAAACATGTAAAACGAAACATCCAATGCAAGCCGATCCCTTAATTAATGAACTTAGACTTTCCCAGTGTGTTAAAACGGTCTGAAATTCGACCGATTAGCGCAGAACCACTCAAGCATGATTCGACGGATCGGCACTGCTGACTGTTCAAAATTCGACGAATTAGGCCGTAATCGAAATAACGGATATAACAAATTACCAGTATATATTAATAGGATATAACAAATTACCAGTATATATTAATAGGAGATAACAAATTACCACTATATATTAATAGGAGATAACAAATTACCACTATATATTAATAGGAGATAACAAATTACCACTATATATTAATAGGAGATAACAAATTACCAATATATATTAATAGGAGATAACAAATTACCACTATATATTAATAGGATATAACAAATTACCACTATATAATAAGAGATAAATAAATTACCACTATATATTAATAGGAGATAACAAATTACCAGTATATATTAATAGGAGATAACAAATTACCACTATATATTAATAGGATATAACAAGTTGCCTTTATATATTAATATGAGATAACAAATTACCACTATATTTTAATAGGATATAACAAATTGCCACTATATATTAATAGGATATAACAAATTGCCACTATATATTAATAGGATATAACAAGTTGCCTTTATATATTAATAGGAGATAACAAATTACCACTATATTTTAATAGGATATAAACAAATTACCACTATATATTAATAAGATATAACAAGTTACCACTATATATTAATAGGAGATAACAAATTACCACTATATTTTAATAGGATATAACAAATTACCACTGTATATTAAAAGGATATAACAAGTTGCCATTATATATTAATAGGAGATAACAAATTGCCACTATGTATTAATAGGATATAACAAGTTGCCATTATATATTAATAGGAGATAACAAATTACCACTACGTATTAATCGAAGTGCGTATAACGAAGCTCGGAACCACGGATATAACGAACTGGAATTAGTGGTGCCACTGGGTTCCTCTATAAGCATAGTCTACTGTATAGGAATTGCAGAGTATATCATTCTGATATTTGATGCGTCAGATTTGCAAATATGTTTCCCATCAACTTCTCTGAAAGCATTACTAAGGTCTGTTGTAATAATAATCAAACAACATTGGAGTGTGACGTCAGAAATCATCGCCATCTCAGGCTCATTTCTCTGTGCAGAGTTGCGTCCCTTTACAACGCAAGAAGCCTTTGTCCTTCACTCTACTTAGTCTGTTTGCAGTGAAAACATACCGATGAATTTCACTTTAAACAAAAAGTAAATCAAATAATGTGAAATTAAGATTGCGAATCCTCATAACTTTACCTTGCCAATTGAACATTAAAATCTCAGAATTTTATTCAACTTAGGATAAAAGTTGTTTAACCAACGATCATAGTTTCAAATTGCTATTATTGGTGCGTATTACAAGGGGTATGCACATTAAATGAAACCCCCGAGAACATGAAGGGTTGGTTTCTACGGTAGTCTAAAGTTAACACTCATCACGGACCGCACGTGCATTTGTTTCACTATTCCAACTACTGCGCGTACCCCCTTGTAATACAAAACCAATAATAGCGATTTGAAACTATGATCGTTTGCTCAACAACTTTTATCTTAAGTTGAATAAAATTCTGAGATTGAAAAGTTAAATTGGCAAGGTAAAATCATGAGGATTCGCAATCTTAATTTATGTGATTTACTGTTTTGTTTAAAGTGAAATTCATCGGTACGTTTTCACTGCAAACAGACTATAGATTACCCTTTACGCCTGACAATCATATGGTATGGATTACCACTACTTTTGGTAGTGAGGAGACGTGCACGAAAACCAAATAATGACTATATTATGGCCTTATGTGCAACCAGAGGTTTTCTGCCATGGTGTAGTCAATACATAGTTTGTATGAAATGTTATGTAGGCATTGCGGTGTTGATGGATCACTAAGTATGGATTACAACTTCTATAATGTTTCGGGGCGGTGGGGTAGCCAAGTGGTTAAAGCTTTCGCTCGTTACACAGAAGACCTGGGTTCGATTCCCCGTATGTGTGATGCCCGTTTCTGATGTCACCCGCCTTGATATTGCTAAAAGCGACGTAAAACTAAACTCACTCAGTCAGTCTATATTGTTTGGCATGAAACACATGTTTGGTAAGACGTGTTCGTTCATTTTGTAAACAGCATGATCAAATGATGATATTTCATAGCACCAAGACTCAAGTAATACTGTATAACTGTTTCAGTCGGCAGACTTCTGAAAGGCAACAGGATTCCATTTGTGTTGGTTATGATCTGGGCATATTCGCTGTTCTGGGCAATCAGTCCTTTTTTCGGGTGGGGAAAATACGCACCAGAACCTTTCAAGACCACTTGCAGTCTTGCCTGGACCGACCGGAGCCTTTCTTCAGTCACCTTCATTATCAGCGCCCTAATTCTCATCCTCGCCATCCCAGTGACGATCATGGTGGCTGCCTACATCAAGATACTGATCGTAACCCGCTCACAGGTGTCGGGTCATCCTCTGCCTCAGGAAATGGTACAACTGCCCACTGGGCATGCCAACCATGGCGTACACTGCATCCGGGACATTGAGTCACGGACCACTGTGGTAAGACTACTAACACAACTGCTCTTCAGATTCTTTCAAACGGCCTTCTTTTCTTGTCAAGCGGACATTGTCAGATATGATTAAATACAGTTCAAAGTGGTGTTATTCAATGTAGCATAGTTCTTTAACTATAACGAAATAAGCATTGATCAGCTTCCGTCCTTTTGTTTCCAACAGACCTCCCTTGACTGCCTTTGACAATTTATATATTAGAAAACAAAATTAAACTTCATACCACCCTCTTCTTTAACTGATGGCTCAGGGCTAGCTATACCCTGTAAACAGCTGTTTGCTTGAACTTGCAGTTGTAAAGTGTTTTCTGTTTAGCAATGTCTCTCAGCTTGCATTTCAATGCACGTGCTATTTAAGATGTTCAGGTGACTCGCTGCACGCTTTTTTCACGCTTTGTAACCAAATTGTTTACAGCTGTCCATTCGTAACTACTCGCCTCTTTCCGTGACCTACAAGAAGACTCGTACCCCTATCGTACGCCATTATTGCCAAGAATCGTGGCAAACCAATCAAATCGCGCGTAGTAAAACGAAGCATGAAAATGGCGGCACCGTTGAAGTTTGAAAAGCACAATTTCAACATAAACTTTGAGCTAAAAGATCAGAAACTTTAAACACTGAAACATATTTACAAATGGGATGACTGTATTGCTGTTTTGCCCACGGGATATAGGATATTCTTGGAGCCATGTTTGGAAATTCAGAGTTATCTTTCCTTGGCAATAGCACTAGACTATTTTCATCTCCATGCCCGTTTGCGCTTAGACATGGCCCAGTCGTTAACATGGCCACGAGAGGGGTACGAGACCACAGGGGCGTGTCATTTTATAGTACTAGGGTAGGGTCTATGTACCTATATGTCTTTCTAACGCTGTTTCTAAGCGTGACACGCCCCTGTGTACGAGACGCCATACGGCTTGCCGGAATGACACGAGTAGTTACGAATGACAGCAGTCGGCAAGGCAATATGCAGACTACATGTCACCGTCGTGCGTGCGGTACAAGAAGCTGAACAGAATTACACATCCATCTCTCCTATCCTCTCATAATTGGTAAAACTGTGGATGTCGAGTTTCTAATTTTGTTAGCGTGCATTACCTGTTGTCCCTGTCCATCAGACCGATCACAGACATTCGGACGTAATATATTAACACGAACATACCTGTAAAATCTACAATATGAGTAAGTACCGAGACATGAGACTACTATTTTCGAAAACAAAATTAAAGTATCACATTATGTATTAACAAGGCTCACTAAAATACAATGTTTATTTATAAAATATGATATTTATGACACACTCTATACTTAGTTCGGGGCGGTTGGGTAGCCTAGTGGTTAAAGCGTTCGCTCGTCATGCCGAAGACCCGGGTTCGAATCCCCACATGGGTACAATGTGTGAAGTCCATTTCTGGTGTTCCCCGCCGTGATATAGCTGGAATATTGCTCAAAGCGGCGTAAAACTAAACTCACTCACTCACTACATGGGTACAATGTGTGAAGCCTATTTCTGGTGCCCCCCGCCGTGGTATGGCTGGAATATTGCTAAAATCGGCGTAAAACCAAACTCACTCACGATACGTTCAGTTCATTTACGTAAAGGATAACGGATTTCAGTGGCTTGTGTCCTTTGTATATAAATGTGGTATATAGTGGTAGATGTTACAGAGAAAGGGAAAGCTACACCGCGTTTCTTCTTCACCCGCGAAATCATACCGCCTTAATTAATCTAGCAGTGTTGCATGCCTATTTTTCAGCTAATGGAAATGGACATCAGATGTTATCGACGTCCAATTATCCCTGAGATCGCATGAACCCTGTGTGAACCCTATCATTGTTGACCTTGAGGCAACGCACAGAGCAGAGAGCCACAACCCAATATATGGCGCAAATTTCTTATACTTCTTCAAGTGCGTTGTCATACGAGGCAATATTTAAATAGATTGGAAAAAACCCACACAGAGCCAATTTCACTCCTACATGTTTGATTAAATTCTTCAGGGAGTAAATGGCAGATGTCATTCATTAAATTCTTCAGGGAGTAAATGGCAGTTGTCATTCATTAAATTCTTCAGGAGTAAATGGCAGTTGTCATTCATTAAATTCTTCAGGGAGTAAATGGCAGTTGTCATTCATTAAATTCTTCAGGGAGTAAATGACAGTTGTCATTCATTAAATTCTTCAGGGAGTAAATGGCAGTTGTCATTCATTAAATTCTTTAGGGAGTAAATGGCAGTTGTCATTCATTAAATTCTTCAGGGAGTAAATGGCAGTTGTCATTCATTAAATTCTTCAGGGAGTAAATGTGTTGTCATTCATTAAAGTTGTCATTCATTAAATTCTTCAGGGAGTAAATGGCAGTTGTCATTCATTAAATTCTTCAGGGAGTAAATGGCAGTTGTCATTCATTAAATTCTTCAGGGAGTAAATGGCAGTTGTCATTCATTAAATTCTTCAGGGAGTAAATGGCAGTTGTCATTCATTAAATTCTTCAGGGAGTAAATGGCAGTTGTCATTCATTAAATTCTTCAGGGAGTAAATGGCAGTTGTCATTCATTAAACTCTTCAGGGAGTAAATGGCAGTTGTCATTCATTAAATTCTTCAGGGAGTAAATGGCAGTTGTCATTCATTAAATTCTTCAGGGAGTAAATGGCAGTTGTCATTCATTAAATTCTTCAGGGAGTAAATGGCAGTTGTCATTCATTAAATTCTAGGAGCAAATGGCAGGTTATCATTCATTAAAGTTTCAGTTGTGGAGTAAAGAGTAAATAAACAGCAGTTGTCATTCATTAAATTCTTCAGGGAGTAAATGGCAGTTGTCATTCATTAAATTCTTCAGGGAGTAAATGGCAGTTGTCATTCATTAAATTCTTCAGGAGTAAATGGCAGTTGTCATTCATTAAATTCAGTTTCATTCATTAAAGGGAGTAAATGGCAGTTGTCATTCATTAAATTCTTCAGGGAGTAAATGGCAGTTGTCATTCATTAAAGTTGTCAGTCATTAAATTCTTCAGGGAGTAAATGGCAGTTGTCATTCATTAAATTCTTCAGGGAGTAAATGGCAGTTGTCATTCATTAAATTCTTCAGGGAGTAAATGGCAGTTGTCATTCATTAAATTCTTTAGGGAGTAAATGGCAGTTGTCATTCATTAAATTCATTTTCAGGGAGTAAATGGCAGTTGTCATTTGTCATAAATTAAATTCTTCAGGGAGTAAATGGCAGTTGTCATTCATTAAATTCTTCAGGGAGTAAATGACAGTTGTCATTCCTTAAATTCTTCAGGGAGTATGGCAGTTGTCATTCATTTTTTCAGGGTAAAATTGGCATGGTTGTCATTCATTAAATTCTTCAGGGAGTAAATGGCAGTTGTCATTCATTAAATTCTTCAGGGAGTAAATGGCAGTTGTCATTCATTAAATTCTTCAGGGAGTAAATGGCAGTTGTCATTCATTAAATTCTTCAGGGAGTAAATGGCAGTTGTCATTCATTAAATTCTTTAGGGAGTAAATGGCAGTTGTCATTCATTAAATTCTTCAGGAGTAAATGGCAGTTGTCATTCATTAAATTCTTCAGGGAGTAAATGGCTTCAGGGAGTAAAATGGCAGTTGTCATTCATTAAACTCTTTAGGGAGTAAATGGCAGTTGTCATTCATTAAATTCTTTAGGGAGTATGGCAGTAAAGGGAGTATGGCAGTTTCATTTTCTCCCTGAAGAAATTAATGAAACATGTAGGTGTGGAATTGGCTCTGTGGTTTTTTTTTCAATCTATGATATGAGTTGTTGTGATATGATTGTCCAAAGTGTGGCTGGAAGCTGGTATCATGGGACCAAACACAATGGATGCAGCTCTTGCTGGGAAGAAATACAAGGCAACGAGAACGCTTACGGTCCAGGGATATTATTCTCGAAACGATCCAAGCGCTAGGATGTCCTAACTTCTGCCCTAACTAGTTAGGATCTGTCTCAGCTGGGATGCTTTCGAGAATAGGCACCCAGGCCTTGTGGAAGATCTTAGGACCACATCTCTCTGCATTTCTAAAGGATACTGACAGGAAACTGTTTGATAGTATATCTAGAAGCTGCCTCCAGTCCCCCTGGTCTTACTGCATGGACCGCTTTGTTGTCGGACTCCAGGCTGCTGGAAACATTCAAAGCAAAGAAGAGAGAAGAGAATATAAAATTCTCTTTTCGGCTGGGTTACATGGAGATGGTATCTGTACTGCTCAAATTCACACGAGCACAAAGAGATGGAATATGGGATCTGCACCTTCAGTCCTTTACATGTATTTTACCATACCACCTTCGATACGGTCACTACAACTATGGGTGATGGGGTCCCGTGTATGTGGCAAACATGAAAACCTTACCAGATGTTATCCGAGATGAGTTTCAGAAGGGAAACTTTGTAGTCAAACGTTCTGAGCGAAAATTCAATCAAGTTGATCCAGATCAGAGTGGCTGAACGGCACTGGAAGAAGAGGTGATGGATTTGTCGGCATTACAAACTCAAGATCAGCATTGAATAGACGTATATAGGCATTATCATACAATGTCAGATCTCACATTGCAACAGACACCCATGATATGTTTCAAATTCACCCCAAGGATATTCTCACCCACAATGAAGCAAAGCCAAACACGGCAACATCGAGACAATGCAGATGAGAACACTCTTGTAAACATATTACAGTGTTTCCAAGCATTCGCGCCTAATGTCCAACCAAACGTCTTGCAAAACATTGCCGCGAAAGACCTTGCAACTGAAAAATACAAGAATCCTTACTTGATCAAGAGTTCAGCAACAGCTAGATGACTTTGTAAGCTGTGGACTACTCAGTAGCACAGAATCACCTGGAAGACAAACCATATACAACCCACTGACAAGGAACACTTGTTCAACATTTGGGAACCTATATGATGCTGATCAGAAGCATACAACCAGGAATAACGGAACTGTGATGAAGGCAGCCAGAAATATTCTTCAGCGGCCGTCATCTCATATGCAGCTGGACGTGTTGTTGATCTTGACAACATCTTAAAGCATGAACTTATGTCAGTGCCAGTAGCTCTTGCTGAAACCAACGGTTCTCTGAGGACGGGAAATAAATCACTGTTGGCAGATGTGGATTGTCCTGCAAGGATTGACATTAGTGGAAGTTTCTCATCACTAATTAGATGGACAGGCGCGGGATCTCTCTATTAGGTAGCCAGAAAATGCAACATCATTTGGCGATCTCGCAGATGCGTTCACCAGCTCCATCTTTCGATCAGGTGCAGCATATGATCGCATTGATGTTGTGTTTGACAGATATCAAATCTCAAACCAGACAGCGAAGCTCCCAAACAACACGGCCAATACGACGTATCGAGGAAGGCAGAGATGTGCCACTTCCCCACTCCTGGACCAAATTCATAGCACTTCCTGACAACAAAGCTGACCTTGCTTGCTCCTTGTCTGAAGAGTTACTGGCAATACTCCACATGATACCCGGAGAGTGGAAGGTCGCAGGTTCGATCCCCGACCGCGTCATACCAAAAGACGTTAAAATATGGTACTTGTTTGTCCCTGCCTGGCGCTCGGCATTAATCGGTACAACAAGGACTGGTGGGCTCGGAGTCAGTATTATGTGTCTGGGTATTCATGCTTCACTGCGGCATGGTATCTCAGTGGGCTAGCACTATAAAACCAGCTTCAGTCTGGGCTAGTACAAGCAGCCGCACATACACACGCATGCACGTCGTCATATGAGCGAAATATTCTCAAGCACGACGATAAACCCAATTTCACCTCACCTCACCTCCACATGATAAAGAGATAGATGTAGCTGGCGGATTTGCCAACGAGAAAGCAGTCAAGTCCTCTAAGTCTCCTATAAACCTGGATCATCTTAGGTCCACTAGAGGAGCTCAATACACGGCTCATCCTTCATGCCATCAACATTACTTCAAGCACGGTCATAGTGACCGCCAGAGATACAGATGTCTTTCTGCTTCTCCTGGCACGCTTTTCATCATTCAAAGCCGACACTATCTGGCTGTTGAGAGGAACTGCTCAGAAAAGAAAGTATATTCCAGTTGGTAAAGTTGACGAGAAACTGCCAGCACATTCTGTTGCATCGCTGTTGCCATTTTATGCACTAACGGGCTGTGATTCCACATCCTACTTCTGTGGTCATACCAAGAGGTCAGCCTGGAAGGTCTTTCTTAACCATCATCATCTCCTAAAGGATCTGGGCTCTGAAAACCTGAACCAAGACAAATGAAGAATTTGTGTGCAAGATATACGTCGTTCATAATGTTAAAAAATGTGTGAAGCCCATTTCCGGCGTCCCCCGCCGTGATATTGCTGGAATATTGCTGAAAGCGGCGTAAAACCAAACTCACTCACTCACACTCACTTATAATGTTCAAAGTGTGAACACAGTGCGTTGCATTTTGTTTGAGAAATCATGCAAACCTGAGTTGATGCCACGACAAGTGATGCCCTATACCACCAGACCCAGCGTGTCCATTACCAAACCATGATCTGGAGGAAAGCCTGTGAAGCTATTCCATCACTTCCCGAATTGACAGGAAAAGGTCTACAACCTCTATTGATGTCTTTGGATCCCATTTCTGAAGCCTGTCTTGCACTTATTACATGCAAACATCATGCCAAACAACATGTCAAATTTTCATTGATACCCGTGAAGATCTGTATAAAATTGATCTTCAGCAACCCATGCTTGTCGTAAGAGGCGGCTAACGGGATCGGGTGGTCAGGCTCGCTGACTTGGTTGACACATGTCATCGATTCCCAATTGCGCAGATCGATGCTCATGTTGTTGGTGACTGGATTGTCTGGTCCAGACTTGATTATTTACAGACCGCCGCCATATAGCTGGAATATTGCTGAGTGCGGCGTAAAACTCACTTACTCACTCACTCAAATCTTCATTGCACTGCTGCGCGTGACTGCAGGAGGCCTGGTGATGAGGAAATTGGTTTCAATGATAATTCGAATGTGTTGTAAAGTTTATTGATGGATCTTTGAATACTATGAAATGTTGAATTCAAACCTGGTTATGGTTGCGTTGACCAAATTATTAAGCATAATTTGGTCGGATTTCATTGATTATCCGTATTGTTTTCATCCGAAATGATTAAATATGTTCATGAAAAATATATAGTTGTGTAATGGTACAACTTTCAATACTACTTTTCCCCCATAGTCTCAATACCGTCAAGGTAACAATGACGTAATCAGCACAAAATCAGCTATTTTTGCGGCCATTTTGTTTACAGTTTTTCAGGTTCATACCCATTTTTTTCAGTTGGTATCAATATATTTTCGTGATCAGCACCCTTACATGTCTGAAACAGTCAGGTTTCAAAAATTTAGAAAATAGACATATAGTCACATGTGACGACATAGGCTACCGTGCACACTAACAAATACTTGAGGCGACTATGGCGGCCATTTTATTTTTCAATTTTGAGGGTAAAAAAAAACCCAACATTTTCAGCTTGGAATCTTATTTATTCATGATCAGCACTCTTTAAATGTCTTAAAAAGTGAAGTTTCCAAAATAAAAAAATAGACATACAGTCATAGACGAAAATACCATGCGCACCTAGCACTATTTAGGTGATTTTGGCGGTATTGTGTGGAATGAGCAGCGAGATTGTTATTGAGTAAATATAAGCAGTTTGTTTTGTTGATTTTTTTATTTTATGGCTGAACCAGGTCGTGTATTATACCATGAAATAACAATCACATGTACGTATGTTGTTTCAGATTGTGTTCCTTACCGTCGCCTTGTATGTGGTTGCCTGGGCTCCATATGCTATCCTGTCCTTCTTGTCTGTGTGCGGGGTTCGAATCCCGGTCGAGGCGACCCCCATCCCCACCATGTTTGCCAAGTCCAACTGTGCATACAACCCTATCATCTATTTCGTGTCTCATCGTCGATTCCGTACATCGTTGATGGAGCTGTTCGGAATGTCACCCTCCTTTGATGCACCTGTAGCCAAGGAGACCAACTCAGTCCGACGTACGTAGGCGTCATTCGGAGCCATAGGGAAGTGGGGGTTCCCCTCAAAAGAGTCGACTGTGCTCCAAGCCCTCTTTTAGCGTGGAACAGGTTACCAATGTGTCGGCATTCCTCAACCTGTTTTCAGATTCGACCAGATGGTTAGCACTTTCATGGCATCGTCATACCGTCAGATTTACACCTGTGTTAGTTTGGGCGTTCCAACCACATAATGAGTTAGTGAGTATGGTAGGATTAACGTAACTTTGAACAGTATTCCAGTATTGAGGGAAAGCACGCAGTCATCCAGATCTCAGGTGATTAGCACTTTGGTGAAACCCACGACCACGGGAAAAACAATCGCTGCGAATTGGGATTCGAACTCACGACCGTGGGTTTCTAGAGTACCCAAGGGATGCAACTCGGCACACATTGTTGGCCTTACTTTGAGGATCCGTGCCGCCTTTATCATATAGATGTAATTACAGGTTTGAATGTTTTTAGTATATATCTTTCAAACAGTTGTGATAAGATCATTACTTGGGTTGCAATTGTATGGAAGTAGCTGTGATTGTCAATAGTTCACAGGAATGTGCAAGGAGAAGGTGAGACGCTGTGAGTGTAACTTTGATGGACAGTGTTCATAAAAATATTATTTTTCAACGAAATCCCCTCTCCGTGCTTGGATCACGAGTTGGAAGGCCTCCTCCAGGTGATGTAAAATGTCCTACACAACAGAAATGACGTCATCATAATTTGCATAATGCTTACCAGATAGTTCTCGGAACAGGTGGAAATCTGACGGTGTCACATCTGGTGCATACGGACGATGTTCAATGAGTTCAAAGCAAGTCGTGCATTGGAGCCACGGTGACAACAACGTACTCTTAATAAGTTTCCATAAGTTTTCCAGTTTATAGTATCAGGTGCCTAGAGGATCGTCTTGCCCGACTTTGCTTCCTTCAGAGGAGACGTTGGGTGTGGACATTGCATACTCTGGCTGATAGCGGTCAACCTAACATACATTCTTGACTACAAATCAGATAGATATGTTCAAAACAACGTAAATTCCCACAAGCGTTTCTAATCTATCGTGTTATTGCTGGAATATTGCTAAAAGCGGCGTAAAACTAAACTCAGTCAGTTAGTCTAATCTGGCGTCAGAATCACTGGGACCCTTGTTGTTGAAGCATTTGCCATGCTCAGTTCGCTCCTCAAAATGTTTTCAAATGTCTGCAGTGTCGCCTATATGACATTTGTCGGTCGTTGATCTTGCATTTTAGCAACATTTTCCTCAGTGGTATCAGTTGGCGAACCTCCGTATCTAGGGTCATCTTCAAGGCTATCTCCTCCGCTCCTGAACTCTGCCACCCTCTTAACACGGGTACACAATGGAATATCATCCTCTAACGTTGGCGCCATGTCCACGTGGGTTGCTGTTGGGATTAGCCCTTTCAGTAAATATGCTTGTCGACATTGGTTACTGTTGGGATTAGCCCTTTCAGTAAATATGCTTGTCGACATTGGTTACTGTTGGGGTTAGCCCTTTTAGTAAACATGCTTGTCGACATTGGTTACTGTTGGGATTAGCCCTTACAGTAAATATGCTTGTCGACATTGGTTACTGTTGGGATTAGCCCTTTCAGTAAACATGCTTGTCGACATTGGTTACTGTTGGGATTAGCCCTTTCAGTAAACATGCTTGTCGACATTGGTTACTGTTGGGATTAGCCCTTTCAGTAAACATGCTTGTCGACATTGGTTACTGTTGGGGTTAGCCCTTTCAGTAAACATGCTTGTCGACATTGGTTACTGTTGGGGTTAGCCCTTTTAGTAAACATGCTTGTCGACATAGGTTACTGTTGGGATTAGCCCTTTCAGTAAACATGCTTGTCGACATGGGTTGCTGTTGGGGTTAGCCCTTTCAGTAAACATGCTTGTCGACATTCAGTAAACATGCTCGTTGGTTACTGTTACCCCTTCAGTAAACATGCTTGTCGACATTGGTTACTGTTGGGATTAGCCCTTTCAGTAAACATGCTTGTCGACATTGGTTGCTGTTGGGGTTAGCCCTTTCAGTAAACATGCTTGTCGACATTGGTTACTGTTGGGGTTAGCCCTTTCAGTAAACATGCTTGTCGACATTGGTTGCTGTTGGGGTTAGCCCTTTCAGTAAACATGCTTGTCGACATTGGTTACTGTTGGGGTTAGCCCTTTCAGTAAACGTACTTGTCGACATTGGTTACGATAGGCAATGTTGATTCAATAAATTATTGTTTAACTAGGATGAATAGTTGCCTCTTCACGGATATCCAATAGTTGTAATCTGGATTCAATGACAATAGTTGCAATATTTGTAGTCTTAATATAGTTGCAATTGCTGTTTTAATGACAATAGTTGCAATCTGTCTTTTAATGACAATAGACATTCTGCTGTTTTTATGTCAATGGTTGTAGTCTGCCGGTTTTATTGACAATAGTTGTAGTCTGTTTTAATGAGTTGCAGTCTGCTGTTTTAATGACATTTGTTGTAGTCAGATGTTTTATTGACAATAGTTGTAGTCTGTTTAATGACAATAGTTGCAGTCTGTTTTAATGACACTAGTTGCAGTCTGGTATTTTAATGACAATATTCTGTTTTAATGACAAGTTGCAGTCTGGTATTCTGATGACACTGACTGTTGTCTAATGTTTTAATAATATTTGTAGGCGGTCTCCATGTCAATGGTTGTAGTCAAATTGTAATGACAATCTATGTAGTGTTTCAGTGAGAATGGCTTAACTAAGGAGTTTAGTTGCAACCATCGTGCTATGGCGCACCCCAGTGCAAATAGCCCCGAATAGTGTCATTGTATGTAATTGCATGGATGTTTTAGTTGGAATTGCTCTTACAAATGTCATTAAGAGCATATTTAGTCATGGGAAAAGCCGTGTTCATTTATCCGAAGGTTGCATCTCCCGGACATTCATTACAAATGCGCATCTGGCAGATAAATTGTGCGTGCAATCGATAGACAGGCGAATCAGGTCCAGCCTTTGTATTGAATTTCAAGCCTTGTTTGGCAATGGTGGAAACTTGACCCTCGTCGGGTAACTATCTTTGTTTGAGACGTGTGTATCTTTGTTTTAAACTGTGTTGAGAAATAATTAAATATATTGTCGTCAATATGGTTTCATGAGTCTTCTATGATCTGCCAAAAAACATCCCATAGACATGTTTCTCACAGTCTCACTATGTGAATGGAGTGACTGAGTATGGCTTTACGCCACTTTTAACAATATTCCAGCAATATCACGGCGGGGGACATGAAATGGGTTCACACATTGTACCATGTTGGGAATCGAACCCGGGTCTTCGGCGTGAGGAGCGAACGCTTTAACTACCAGGTTACCCCACCGTGCCACCGAATGGGTGTCAAGAGATGTTGACCATATTGCAGATGCCAGGTCAGCCCAAAAGAACAGTACTTACTTAGAATGTCCTACAATTTGACATATGATTTATGAGAACTGGAGATTTTTAAAAAAGCCATGACGAAAATAACAAGAAGACAAAGTCATCAATATCCCCCGCAACGGCAAAATACTCTTTATGAATATGTCTACTAGTTATGATTATGTCAAATGTTTTGGAGTGTATACAGCAAAGTGGAAGGAGAGTATTGAAAGGTTTTTAAGATCTGCTCCAGAGAGGAGCACTACCATCAAATTCAGTTGAAGCCTAACTTGTTGCCATGGAAATGCAACAAGATGACATCCACATAGTTAACATGGAAACCACACAAAATAAAATTCATATCTGGGTCTAGGGATCATGCTTGACATGTGTACAAAGTTTGGTGAAGCTAGCACTAATGGTTTAGGAGATCTGCTCCAGGACAAGATGACATCCTCATAGCCACAGCGTAAGTCACGTTTCCATGGAAACCGCAAAAAAATTAAATTCATATCTGGGTCTAAACCCCAAAAGGCACATATAGGGATCATGCTTGACATATGTACCAAGTTTGATGAAGCTAGCATGTATAGTTTAGGAGATCTGCTCCGGACAAGATGACATCCTCATATCCACAGCCTAAGTCACGTTTCCATGGAAACCACACAAAATAAAATTCATATCTGGGTCTAAACCCCAAAAGGCATATCTAAGGATCATGCTTGATATCTGTACCAAGTTTGATGAAGCTAGCATGTATAGTTTGGAAGATCTGCTACGGACAAGATGACATCCTCATAGCCACAGCCTAAGTCACATTTCCATGGAAACCACAAAAAATAAAATTCATATCTGGGTCTAAACCCCAAAAGGCACATCTAGGGATCATGCTTGACACATGTACCAAGTTTGGTGAAGCTGGCATATATAGTTTGGAAGATCTGCTCCGGACAAGATGACATCCTATGACATAGCAGTCCGCAGCCTCCTTCTGATGGTACTGATGGAGAGACGTTGCCGGCTCAGTTGTTCAAAGGTCATGACATATGTCTTGCCAGATGAATTCGGACTCGGTCATCAGAGTCATTGGTAAACCGCGGTCTTCCAGGTATTGGACGACCCTTAACTTGGCCGCATGCTTCCCAACAAGTGGGCTGATAACCTTGAGGTTCATTTAGATCTGATATTTCGACAGGACATCATTACGTCATACATGCCAATAACTTGCAACCATAGAAAACTTGCAATCATGTATTTTATGAAAGTCTACGTCTTGCCATGTCAAGATAAGTAAATTTTTATTCCTGTCGTATTTCAAATCAGTTCAGAAAACAGTAGTGCACATACTGCAATTATTAAATTTAAACCCCAAATGAGCTTTTTGCACCACGAGACAATGAGACCCATAGCTTTTGAGATATTGTGTCACGTACATGTTGTGTCATTATGCATGTGTATTCCAGTATACTAGGGGACAATCGCTCGTCTGGATCAAAATCATAAACATTACCCTTCGATTCAGGTTATGCGTGATTAATGCTCATGTGTATATAACACAGACTAGAAGAGTAATCAAAATTATTGCTTGGCTGCCAGTTGGCCCTGCTGAGTGACTACCAAACATACTAAGCTCCGACCTGTTAAGTGACAAACAAACACTTATTTCCTACCTGCTGAGTGACCAACAAACACTTAGCTCCAACCTGCTGAGTGACCAACAAACACTTAGCCCCTACCTGCTGAGTGACCAACAAACACTAAGCCCCAACCTGCTGAGTGACCAACAAACACTTAGCTCCGACCTGTTAAGTGACCAACAAACACTTAGCCCCTACCTGCTGAGTGGCCAACAAACACTAAGCCCCTACCTGCTGAGTGACCAACAAACACTTAGCTCCGACCTGTTAAGTGACCAACAAACACTTAGCCCCTACCTGCTGAGTGACCAATACACTAAGTTCCGACCTGCTGAGTGATCAACAAACACTTAGCCCCTACCTGCTGAGTGACCAACAAACACTTAGCTCCTACCTGCTGAGTGACCAACAAACACTAAGTTCGGACCTGAGTGACCAACAAACACTAAGCTCTGACCTGTTGAGTGACAAACAAACACTTAGCTCCGACCTGCTGAGTGACCAACAAACACACTTAGTTTCTACCTGCTGAGTGACCAACAAACACACTTAGTTCCTACCTGTTGAGTGACCAACAAACACACTTAGTTCCAACCTGTTGAGTGACCAACAAACACACTTAGTTCCTACCTGTTGAGTGACCAACAAACACTAAGCCCCTACCTGCTGAGTGACCAACAAACACACTTAGTTCCTACCTGCTGAGTGACCAGTAAACACTAAGCTCCGACCTGCTGAGTGACCAACAAACACTTAGCTCCGACCTGTTAAGTGACCAACAAACACTTAGTTCCTACCTACTGAGTGACCAACAAACACTAAGCTCCTACCTGCTGAGTGACCAACAAATACTAAGCCCAAACCTGCTGAGTGACCAACAAACACTTAGCCTCTACCTGCTGAGTGACCAACAAACACTTAGCCCCTACCTGCTGAGTGACCAACAAACACTTAGCCCCTACCTGCTGAGTGACCAACAAACACACTTAGTTCCAACCTGTTGAGTGACCAACAAACACACTTATTTCCTACCTGTTGAGTGACCAACAAACACACTTAGTTCCTACCTGCTGAGTGACCAACAAACACTAAGCCCCTACCTGCTGAGTGACCAACAAACACACTTAGTTCCTACCTGCTGAGTGACCAACAAACACTAAGCCCCTACCTGCTGAGTGACCAACAAACACACTTAGTTCCTACCTGCTGAGTGACCAAAAAACACACTTAGTTCCAACCTGTTGAGTGACCAACAAACACACTTAGTTCCTACCTGTTGAGTGACCAACAAACACACTTAGTTCCAACCTGTTGAGTGACCAACAAACACACTTAGTTCCTACCTGCTGAGTGACCAATACACTAAATTCTGACCTGCTGAGTGATCAACAAACACTTAGCCCCTACCTGCTGAGTGACCAACAAACACTAAGCTCCTACCTGCTGAGTGACCAACAAACACTTAGCTCCGACCTGTTAAGTGACCAACAAACACTTAGCCCCTACCTGCTGAGTGACCAATACACTAAGTTCTGACCTGCTGAGTGATCAACAAACACTTAGCCCCTACCTGCTGAGTGACCAACAAACACTAAGCTCCTACCTGCTGAGTGACCAACAAACACTAAGTTCGGACCTGCTGAGTGACCAACAAACACTAAGCTCTGACTTGTTGAGTGACCAACAAACACTAAGCCCCTACCTGCTGAGTGACAAACAAACACACTTAGTTCCTACCTGTTGAGTGACCAACAAACACTAAGCTCCGACCTGCTGAGTGACCAACAAACACTAAGCTCCGACCTGCTGAGTGACCAACAAACACTAAGCTCCTACCTGCTGAGTGACCAACAAACACTAAGCTCCTACCTGCTGAGTGACCAACAAACACTAAGCCCAAACCTGCTGAGTGACCAACAAACACTAAGCTCCTACCTGCTGAGTGACCAACAAACACTAAGCTCCTACCTGCTGAGTGACCAACAAACACTAAGCCCAAACCTGCTGAGTGACCAACAAACACTAAGTTCGGACCTGCTGAGTGACCAACAAACACTAAGCTCTGACTTGTTGAGTGACCAACAAACACTAAGCCCCTACCTGCTGAGTGACCAACAAACACTAAGCTCTGACCTGCTGAGTGACAGACAAACACTAAGCCCCTACCTGCTGAGTGACCAACAAACACTAAGCTCTGACCTGCTGAGTGACCAACAAACACTAAGCCCCTACCTGCTGAGTGACCAACAAACACTAAGCTCCGACCTGCTGAGTGACCAACAAACACACTTAGTTCCTACCTGTTGAGTGACCAACAAACACTAAGCTCCGACCTGCTGAGTGACCAACAAACACTAAGCTCCGACCTGCTGAGTGACCAACAAACACTAAGCCCCTACCTGCTGAGTGACCAACAAACACTAAGCTCCGACCTGCTGAGTGACCAACAAACACACTTAGTTCCTACCTGTTGAGTGACCAACAAACACTAAGCTCCGACCTGTTGAGTGACCAACAAACACTAAGCTCTGACCTGCTGAGTTACCAACAAACACTAAGCTCCGACCTGTTGAGTGACCAACAAACACTAAGCTCCGACCTGCTGAGTGACCAACAAACACTTAGCCCCTCATCATCACTCCCCCCTAGCCATAAATATGAACGGTCCCTAAACCATTCATTTCCCATACATAACACTATTAGCCAATACGACATGACTTTATAAATGGAAAATGAGTGAGTGAGTTAGGTTAGTTTTTACGCCACTTTATCTCTGACCCATCCACCCCTAAAATAAGTGACAGGTCCCTTATCAATCTTTGCATGTATTTCATGATTTCTTTTTATTTGAATATACACACTCTTTTGGGTTCAATCTGTTGAAAATATATGAACCCACAAAAAAAAACCAGCTGAAAATAGTGTTATGGTGGCTTCTCATGTGCACCTGTCCATAATCTGCTTCCAGGTTAATTCGTGTGTTACAGACTGTAACTGTTTGAATTAGCAAGTTATCATGTATGGAAGTACCAGAAGATCCACTAAATGTCCATTCAGTGGCAGGACACGTCAAAGAACATGTCTATTGTGTCCTCAGCCGAGATCCCGGTTGGGGTTTGCTATCTCCAGATGTGCAAGTAGTGTTTTTTGTGCAGCTTGCATCACAGATTTATCTGGTAGTAATTTTGCATTGTTTTGAGTCAGCAGACCTACAGTTCAAGTTCACCACAGAGATACACGTCAGATACACATTTAGCAAGAATGAGTGAGTGAGTTTAGTTTTTGGCTGCACTCATCAATATTCCAGCTATATGGCAGCGGTCTGTAAATAATAGTCTGGACCAGACAATCCAGTGATCAATGGCATGAGCAATGTACATGAAAAGGAGGAGTGAGTAAGTAAGTGAGTTTGATTTTACATCAGCAATATCATGGCAGTGGACATCAAAAATGCGCTTCACACAATGTACCCATGTGGGGAATCGAACCTGAGTCTTTGACTTGACGAGCAAATGCTTTAACCATTTGGCTACCCCACCGCCCCCTGGAAAATGAGGAGATCACAATGACCATTGTCATGCAGGAAACTATAGCATACTATGTTTAGAGATTGCCCTTTTATTCAGGAATCAGTGGTATTCATGGTTATAGAATCACAACAACAGCATATAAATCTTTAAAAGAGAACGTTTAATTCCTGTTCAAGCCGATTCAGTTCACTGACTTCTGTGAACCAAGAACATGTTTCAATGAATGATCTTTATTCAACATGAGCTAAACATGCTAAATATACATATTTCATATGTACAAGAAACTATCACAACTATGTATAAACAATTCTTTTCTCAATCATGTCCTCCTGTTTAAAGTCCATCACCTCAACAGACTGAACAGACACTATTTCACAGTTAACCAATGTAACCTCAATCAACATGTCAGTATTTAGAGGACGATAGCGGTGTCATAATTATCCCTACTCTTGGAATGACATCCCCAGTGGCAACATAATCTGCTGACGCAGCAGTATTTGTCACAAGGCCACATCAGACTTCTTGCTCAAGCATTAGCTCACACGAAAACAGAAGCTCTTTGTGATAGTCTATTGATGGTGCATTTGTATTCCAGATATGTTGCAGTTCAGTTAACATCCACAATCAGACCTAATCCATTAGGCTGCTGAAATGATGTCAGTCAAGGAAATGGCCGACTTTACATTCTAGCTGTCTTGTTGACTTGTGCTAGGTACGATTACACATCCCAAATATAACATATGTTACATTGTGTTAGGTATGTGTATTTTAGGAAGGTCAAGCTGCCATCCAACACAATAAACAATACAGATAAAACACACAAAATGAAATGTCATAGGCCTTTCCATTCTCTTCCCACAGAGGTTACTTGTCATATCTTCCTACGAACCTCTGTTCTAATATGGCCCTTTCATGGTGCGAGTGTTCAGGATTCGTGATTGGTTGCAATCAGATTTAGTTGTGCAATCAGCACTGTTGTTTCAAAAGTGATCATTTGCAAGGCCTCAGTAATTTCCGTAGGCATCGGGCAAATTAGAACATCCTCTCATGTGCGATGCGCAAACGTATCTTCTAGACAGAACTCAGTCATGTAATGGCGGATAAATGGCATCTCCTTCGCCCTCGTTGACAACGGACAAGCTAGCCATTAAATGTCTTGTGTGTCACATCAACACACGTCCCCGGCAGAGGAGGGATATTTGTGGCCCCATATTTGCATGCATTAGTCAAGTTGGATCTAAGTCGATGTAACATGTGTTCTAATTGGATAGAAAGAAGGGAGATAATTCGTGTTTCGATTCTTTACCGCTAGGGGATTTTACGAGAACCGGGAAATATGGCCGTATTAGAACAGAGGTTCGTAGGAAGATATGACAAGAAACCTCTGTGGGAAGAGAATGAGGCCTTTCATATTTAAAAAGAAATGGATGAAAATCTAACAAGAAATTTACTTATCCAATAACTATTTATCTTGATAACAAGCCATCAACACACTGTCATCAGTATACTGTCATCTAAACACCATCAAGCCGGACTCCATTAAACAACCAACCTGCTATTGAAATACATGCTGCCAATTTTTCAAGTAGTTAAACAGTGTTGGTATATCTAAATCATTTTGCCAGCATCTACAGACAAGCATAACATTATCAGTGGATCTAAATCATCATTTTGGAAAACTGATCAGTCATAAACATGATTCTACTTGGAAAGTAGTGTTCAAAAATAGGCATTAGAGTCAAGGGGTCGTTGATGTCATGTGACTTGACTAAAGCCACACCTGAGGATATCCTCTGAATCAAACACACACATATCCATGGCAACAAGGATGGAGATCTAGGAAAACATGATGGCCGTCACAGGGTGTTCCTTTAATGGATGTGGAGACAAATGCATCTTGTTCAAAACAAGGATCGCTGACCTCCATTCATAAAACCGACAGTCCCTTTCTTTAGAAGAAGTCATCTGATAAGGGATCCTTTGATCACACATCACAGATGGTCCCAGAGGTCCCAATCACAGATCCCTGTCAGATATCCTCCACACTGCATAACTTGATGAAGGAAAACCTTTGAGATGTTATCAGATCATGTGCATCTGATGCCGCCAGTATTGGAGGTTTGACAAGCACCTGTTACCATGGTGACCTGGAGCTTGGTCTCAACATGTCCTGTGGAAACTCTTGGATCTTGACTCTCATTTCATCAGTCTTACAATGTGGTTCATGACATCGTCCCTGGACAGCTTGCCAGGGTTCCGCTCCTCTTGACTGTCGTGCACCTTCACCCCTTTTTCCCATAACCACTGGAGGCTGTTCATCTTGCAGTCTCTGAATGGAGGAACGTGCAGTAGTTACACAATGTGGCACTGAACATTAAGGCCCAATATATACATTGTTTGTTTTTCTTCTTTAACAAGCTTAATTGTAGTGTTACATTATGAAATTTTCTGATCATGTGCACTCTCTAACATATCACAGGCTCGCTGACTTGGTAGACACATGTCATCATATTCCAACTGCATGGACCAATGCTCATGCCCTTTATCACTTGATTGTCTGGTTCAGACTCCATTATTTACAGGCCATTTAACTTGAATATTGCTGAGTGCAGCGTTAAACTACAGACAATCAAACAAACTCTTATATATCAATACTGAGTGTATTCCCAATACAGTAGGTACTTGAGGAGGCTCTGATTGCCATACTCAATGAACTGGGTGGTCAGACGCGCTGAGGTGGTTGATTGAATGCCATTCTACGTCAACAGTGTGGGGTATTGCTCATAACATCAATCACCGGTTTGTGTGACATAGCCTAGCTGACCTACTGGTATCATTACCAAAACAACCTTCTCATTTTACTACATTGATTTATTCCACATTTATATTTCAACAGATCCACACCAATTGGTTAAGAAACATCTGAAAACAAAATGAATTTGGCCATAAACAAGAAAATGGGTAAGTTAGCTTAGTTTTAGACCGCACTCAGCAGTATTCCAGCTACATAACAGCAGTCTGTAAATAATAGAGTCTGGACCAGACAATCCAGAGATCAACAGCATGAGCATCGATATGTGCAATTGGGAACCGATGACACTTGTCAACCAAGTCAGCGAGCCTGACCACCCGATCCCGTTGTCGCCTCTTACGACAAGCATGGGTTAATGAAGATCAATTCTTAACTGGATCTTCATGGGTTAGAAGTAAGATGGTGAGTGAGTGAGTGAGTTTAGTTTTACGCCGCAATATTCCAGCTAGAAGTAAGATGGAGACTACCCACCTGACAGATGCAATACAATCTAATCGGCACTCGAATGAGGACTCTCTGTTGGCTGTGTTGTACCAGTACTTCCTGTTGGCCGATCGACTTAGCGCCATCATCCATGGATCTGACATCACAATACAGTAAGTGAATTACCTTTAGTAACATCCCTTTAGAAATGTGTCACTTTACTTTGAGGGAGCTCTCTTACCTCTTGATGAAGTGTACAAGAATTACAATAAGAATGAAGTTATTTTCCACTAAAGGTTTCAGAATTGATGAAGGTATATTGCCCCCTGAAAAGTACTAAAAATTAGTCCACAAACAAATTGCTTTGAGAGGCTAAACTCTCTAACTCAAGCCACCGAAGACGGAATGTTGACCTTGAGATCCTTAGTGATAGTCTTAGTATCCACAACTGACTGGTTAGAATATGCAACATATTCACTGAGACGTCTATTTAGAGAAGATCCTAATGTGTATCATGAGGAGATAATCATGTACAATTAATATTTGATGGTTTATGGAAAAGGAAGGAATTTCAAAGTATCCGATAACACACAAATTAAACCTAGATTGTAATTGTGTCCACTCAGCAGCCAACAGTTGACAGCATCTATACCCGCTGACCTTTGACCGTCTTCATGAAGTAGATGCCGTGGGGGTGGAAGTAGTTGCCGTCCTCGGTACAGTAGCACAGCCGTGGCTTCCCGGCACACCCCTTCACAATCTTCATCTCCAACCTAAACAGTTACATACACTTCACACCTGGACAACTCAAGGATCTGCATAATCTGGGATTTATTTTGTTGGGTTTTAGCAATACTACAGCAATATCACGGTGGGGGACACCAGAAATGGGCTTCACACATTGTACCTATGTGGGAATCGTACCCGGGTCTTCGGTGTAACAAGCAAATGCTTTAAACACTAGGCTACCCCAACGTCCTTGACTAAACGAGCAACAGTCTATGTCATCATGACAACACAGGTCACTAGTAACCACTTGATCTCACTGAGTTCATTCGGATCCCAATGGATCTATTAGGTAATGGTACTTCACTCTCCACTGTACCTTGCCAGACCTAAGGTAACTTGGACAAGACTATACATTTTTAACCTTGACATTGGGACAACAGGCAGCGAGATCTCCCTACCTATCAAATATGTGCTCAATCTCTTCAAGCTTGAACACTGTGGGAACTGTAACTGGTGCTAAATCAGAACGGGTCCGCTTCCGTATTGCTTTCACAAATTTCTGTAATTTCTCAAACCTACAAACAAACAAAGATAAAAAAGCTGAGCTTTATTTAGTGTCAGGTCTTAATTAGGTTTCATCAAATCCTCCAACACAACAGGCCCTGGTACATGAGCCAAGTGTGAGTGTGGATATTGTCCTGGATTTAACGGCAAGTCTGTGTGCAAGGATTGCTTATAGAATGAGACTCAACAGGTCTCAATAGTGCAGGTCAGCATCGTAATAAAGAGTTAGCTAACATGCATTTCATACTGTAATGTAACACCAATGTAGCCATGCATTACATATGGAGTAATAACATCAATTAGATTAAACTTTCAATAAATTGAATAAATCTTGCCAGGGCAAAGCCTAGTTCTTCAATACACCAGTGAGTGTTATTATTGGCACCTCTTACCTCTCCTTGTAGTGTTTGTTTCGTACATCGATCCCACACAAAAACAAGGCATCTATTGCACGTATTGTCCGTTGACGTCTCTGGCCACGGCCCTACAATAAACCGTAAAAAGATAATAGTATACAAATCGTTCATCAGGTCATACACCACATGTTGGCCTTTTGAGTTTTTGTTTTGATGAATGAAACATTGAGTTACCTCCCCCTTGAGTTCCTGAACATCCTCGACCTCCAACAAAGTATCTGGGGGCAGCTCCAACCTCAGGTTCTCCTCCAGTTTTGTCCATCGACACTTCCCCCTCCCGTCCCACTTGAATACATGGGCTTTCTGAAAGTGGAGTTTGATATATGATGACTTTAATGAATGCAGAACCTTTTCCAGTGACTTAAAGCATTAGGACATGGTACACTGTAAGCCACAGTGAATCTGACTATCCCATCCATTTTAGACACCTGTTACAAGCATAGACAACTGCGAACCAATTCCAACTCAGATTTTACATTTTTCCATTTCACTGGGGTGATATTTTAATATCATCTGAGTTGTCGTTGATAAAGTAGCTCTTAAAATACAACATGCAAACCGAATTCTTCAAGTATGATCTAACATACCCCGAGACCAAGAATGTAGAAACGTTGTCCTTCTCCCATGACTGCACACATGTAGTCGTAGGCGCTCTTGATGTGGGACAGATTTTCGTGTGTCAGGATAGTGGGTGTGTGCTCATAGTAGTCTTTACTTTCATCCTGAGAACAAAGAAAGATTTGGGGAATAGTGAGTGAGATTAAAGCTGATCTGAGCAGTATTCCAGTTATATCACGGTGTGTGTCCACTTAGTGAGGGAGGAAGCCCTGAAGTGATGGAGGTCCGGACGTTCACTCCTGAACACTGACAAACCTGGAAACAAACATGGATCCAAACCCCCATACTATGTTCCTGTGCTTTTACTGTTGTTTAGTCTCTGACTGATAGCAGTGAATTAACGCACAAGGATGCAAAAGGCTGTACATTATTACACTACACATGTGAACTGTACTTCTTAAATGTAGAGACCATCACATTGTGCCTTAGATTAATCGTACTAAAAGCGTTTAATTTGGCATCTTAAAAAGCAACATGGTTTATTTTACCCCCATGTATTTATTCTAAGATGTCAAATTACCAGAAAAAACAAATGATAAACAGTTTGATGACGGTTTACGTTTGGATGAAATATCTTCTCTAATTCATTTTAATTACATCTGTAATTAACGTAAACCATATGGGGCAATATGAATGTCGCATTTCTACTACCAGCGTAAGTTTATAAGTACATCCAGATGAAGCTGAGTTGTCAAGCGACATTCCATGATTGCATTGTGGGAATGTAAACATTGCGAACGTTACCGTGTCGCTGAAAACTTGCGAGTAAATTTGACACATTTTAACTGTTGGAAAACATAAATGTAATGTTTCCACCAGTGAAGTTAGCTGAGTGAAGCAAATGCAAACCAAGAAACGGGATGCAACATGGGTACAATGTCTGAAGCCCATTTCTGGTGTCCCCCGCCGTGATATAGCTGGAATATGGTTAAAAGCGGCGCAAAACTGAACTCACTCACTCACTCCTCATGATTTGACATGCAAAATATTTGTATGTTTTTCATCTCTCAGATGAAAAAAGCCCTGTGATTACAGTTTACCTGACCCCTATCAACACACAAGTGACCGCTCACCTGTAGGAGGCGATGACAACTGACATGCATCGTGACGTCGCTTACATTGTGACGCAATGCAAAATTGTTCAATTTGAGGGGGCAGAGTGACGTAATGCAAAAAGTGCACATTATCGTCTAATAAAGTCTTTGATCTTTCACCGAAGCATCTTAGAAAGTGTAATAAAGTACAGTTTTGCCCCAATTAATTATGTCAGTAAAGCACAAGGATACAAAGGGTGAAACTGTACCTTATTCCAATACATGAGGGTAGAGCATAGTGTAGAGGCAACTGTATTTACTAAGTAAATGTAACGTTTTTCCCATAATGAGGGGGATACTTACAGCAATCAGTTCCGCAAACTTCCGGGATGGATCAGCTCGTGGAGGAGCCTTCCTTACTTCATCCGGAACCTAGCAACAGGAGCTCACAAACATGAAGGAATATATGAACCTTTTAATGTGCATCTGTTCATATTTTGCTTCCAGGTTAAGTCGTGTGTAACTGTTTGAATAAGCAACTAGCAAGTTATCATGTATAGAAGTACCACAATATTTTATAGGCCAAATATCCACTAAATGTACATTCAGAGACAGGACACGTCAAGGAACATGTCCAGCATGGATATTGTGTCCTCAGACGAAAGTTCTGCTTTGGTTTTGCTATCTGTAGATGTGCAAATCGTGTTCTTGTGCTGCTTGCATCTCAGATTTCTATCCCGATGGTGCTGGAAATAAGGTTGCATGGCTTCAAGTCACATGACCTACTAGAAATTCAAACCTACAGCAGTGGTGATTTGGGAGCATTTTCACAGATGTGAAACTTATTTGGAGCACTGTTAGATAGCATCTGGTCCTCATGATGTGCCACATGGGTACAATGTGTGAAGCCCATTTCTGGTGTCCCCCGCCGTGATATAGCTAGAATATGGTTAAAAGCGGCACAAAACTGAACTCACTCACTCACTCACTCCTCATGATTTGACATGCAAAATATTTGTATGTTTTTCATCTCTCAGATGAAAAAAGCCCTATGATTACAGTTTAACTGACCCCTATCAACACACAAGTGACCGCTCACCTGCCACTTTCTGAGACATTCAGCTCGGACATCAGCTTGTCTTTCCTCATACAGCTCCCTGAAAGACACAAAACATGGTCAGACCTTACTTTCTTCATCTAACTGTACACCATGTACACAGATCTTTAATTAGTTTTTATTACTTACTTCACAGAATCTACAGACATATAAAGGAATCGAACAAGTTAAGTTACATAAATGGGAGCTAGGTTTGTTTCAAAGCTGTTTATAGTGAAGAAAGCTGCATTTTGTGATAAGAGTTTGTGATAAGAATTACAGTGCATGTTATGTTCAGCAGAGATGGCTGAGCATCTCTTTCAATAGAACTGCCATGGCAGCAAAGGCCACCCTTCACCAAAAAACAAAATGGACACCAGTCAAACAGTCCACGAATTTCAGTCTGGTGAGGTAAACATTCCCCCATTTGCAACAAATTTTTCACAAATCTTTTTTTGAACCAACTGAAAAGGGAAAAGGTCTCTCCTAAGGTAGACATAGCATTGCTGAACCAGGTGAACATGTGAGTGAAAGCATGAACACCCATCAATGCTATCAATGCTGTGAGCGTACCATGCCTTGAGGTGAATTAACATTAACATTTACTAATATACTCACACATTTTGAGCAAACACTTGGATTTTCTTGAGACCAATTATTTGTTTCTTTCCTAATCTGTTGTGGACAAGAAAATATATCATCTGTGAATGTTTAAACAAAGCCATTATCACAATGTACACTCCAAGTGGTACCATGTTTCAATGAATAAGAAAAAAACATCCTCAGTTCCACCAAAAATAGCATACACATGAAAACATAAATCTGACTTGAAAACAAAAGTGGAAACTTCTGACACTTGACCATGTTTCAGATATCTGTAGACTGTATTATCAATGACATGCATACAATAGTAGGTGTGGTTGGAGACTGTGGTCTAGTTCAAATAGTTAGTGCCTCCTATGAAGACATTACCAACAGCTGGACATGTAAAAACAGACAGAGGAGCGACATTATTTAGTCAGTGTCTATGTCAAATGACTTACACATCATTGGATTTGAAGATGTAGTTGAAGAATTCCTCATTTCCAGTAATCATTTCAAGGGGGACAATTTCATTGACGTCCTGTTTGGATGTGGACCCCATGTACACACACAGATCTTGGTTGATGTGTCTCATATACTGCAGGATTGGTTCAATGTCACACTTCTTCCACTTGCACACAATATACCTGAAATACGTCCACACACATCACCATAAAGTTTGTTGTGGTATCAGACTTGGACTAGTTTCACACGTCAGATTAATATCAAAGCCTTTAAGTAAAGATGAAAATTCAAAGAACATTTAATGCTCACCCTTGACTATACAATGTATCACAACTATATTTGATAAATACTCTGGAACCATTTGGAAACACATCTTAAGTGTGGAGGTAATCGCACCATATCACTAACTGTCCCTGTAAGCATAACTTCATTGACTGGCTATTTGAAAGGCTAAAAAATGAATCTATGGTAGTGAATGGGTCCAGGATATTGATGATAGCAGAATGGAGATAATGCAGTGGGTTATCGACTATAGTCTGCTTGCAGTGAAAACGTATTACAAGGGGGTAAGTGCAGTAGTTGGAACAGTGAAACAAATGCACGTGCGGTACGTGAAGAGCGTTAACTTATAACAAAACTTGTCATTTTCGGTGTTTCATTTGATGTGCATACCCCCTTGTAATACAACCAATAATAGCCATGTGAAACTATGATCGTTTGTTAAACAACTTTTATCCTAGGTCGAATAAAATTCTGAGATTTAAATGTTCAATTGGCAAGGTAAAATCATGAGGATTCGCAGTCTTAATTTCACTTTATTTGTTTTACTTTTTGGTTTAAAGTGACATTCATCGGGTACGTTTTCACTGCAAACAGACTATAAGTGATAAGCAGCTCGTAGATAACCAGACAAACCAGTTACAATCTGAGCAATGTTCCACTACATCAGAGTATGATAAAACATGATCAGCCACACATCACACTCCCAATCTGTAGAAGGTTCTTGTGACATGTACGATTTATTGGGGGAAACCTCTGACCAGGAACCCCAATGGATTGGTACAGACACAGGAGTACAGGTCTTGATGCATAAGGCAGGGTACGATTTAAAGAAATTAAACCTACTTGCACCCGGTGCAACCTTAGGTAGAAACCTTGTTGCATCAGATAAAAACAGGTTGCACCTGCTGCTCAATATAAAATCTTGTATAAAATATGATGCTTGAGTTTTGGTAATGATAGTTTAGAACATTATAACAAAAGAAATCTGGGACTGATAAGATTAGTTATCTTACTCTTTCTTAAAATTTCATGAACAGTAAATCCTTCAGTTACTGCTCATACAGTCATCAGAGTCACTCTTCCAAGTCAGTTCCTCATCATCCTGTTTTCCAGCTGAAGTCTCAAAAATTGACTTGCATCTGGTGTAATGTTAAAGAACCACTAAACTTTGTTTTTTGTTACTCTTTTAACCATTACATATGAAAGATTTGTGGTTAGTCTTATGCGGAACACCAAATTTATTCTTTAAAAACTTGTGGTTATTTAATACCGAGCGATTAAAAGTTGCCAAAAAGTCGCCTGCTTCCCTCTCGCCCGCCAACGAAACCACAGACAGGTTACGTAACTCTGTCGCCAGAGCACTGCAGTGACGTCATATGAGGAACGATTTTCAGTTAGTTGTATAGAAAATGTGTAGCACGCTCATCATTTTGATGATTTCTCGACATCAGCGGCGACATGCTGAATCGTTGCTTTGTCGTCAATTGCTCCTAGGGGTCGAGGCGATGGTGTCCCCATGCACAGATTTCCACAGGACCCACAGTTCGTGCTAAATGGGTTATGTTTGTGAGTCGCGGCGAGAGTTGTGGAAGCCTGAAGCGATATCTTACTTGTGTTCAGATCGCTTCACGGAAGTTAAAGAATCAAAACTACTTACTAGTTGTAGTAAAATATGCATATGATTGATGACCATAAAGATTTTCTATGACACAACTTGTAACATAGCGATTTCTTCCTAGGAAGTGAGGTTGTGGTCGAAGTAACAATAATATTGTAAGTAGTATTATATTGACACCCACCTGGCTGCCACGAGAGAAATTGTTATGTTTTACGCTTTGTCATGCAAAATCCTATTGGCCATCAATAAAATACATATTTTACTACCAGTAGAAAGTAGTTTTGATTTTATAACTTTCGGTGGAAACAAACCTAAATACCATTTATCCTCAGACTGGCGGATGTTCCCGACAGAGGCCCGCCATTTTAAAATAAAAAATCTGTTAGAATTAAGGAGATTATAGTTTGTTTTCATCAAGTTAGAAAATCAAGACTACTTTCTACTTTCGTAGTTAAATATGTATTGGAATCATAACCAAGCGGATTTTGCATGACACAACTTATAACATAGCGATTTCTTCCACGAGGCGAGGAGGTGGGGTCGAAGTCACAATACTCTTGCGATAAATTTCTTGCTACATTCCCATGGTTCATGTCCACTCACCAGTATGTAGATACTAGTCAGTAATGCGTCTTTATATTTGGTCTTATAATCCTAATTAGTTTATTATCATACTTGTATGCATTTTGAAACTAAATAAAAAGCAGACGATCTGCTGATACTTATAGTGAATTTATAACAGAACTGTAATATCTAGACATTTTATAGTTTACCAATGTGAATCATAATTCGCACACACACCCTAGTGCATGTTGTCTGTCTCATTACACTTCACGGCGAAAACAATGATTCTGTTGAATGCTACAACAAATGAATAAAAACAAAATGCAAATATTAAAATTAAAACAGATTAAAGTTATAGGAACAATATCAGGCCATTACCTTGTTCGAGGAATGTATCCATCAATATCCACAAAACTGTTCCAAATGATGTGTCTTTTAACAGTTTAATATACGAAAAAGTGATAAATCTTTTCAGGTATTGATGTATAGTCTCATTGGTCACCCAAGATAGCACACCTGGCAACTAATTGCATAATGTCCGCCTTTCTTTAAAAACAGTAATTTAGTTAGCCAATAATGGGCAATCAATCAATGTAATGCCGGTTAATCCTTTGAAAGAAGGGCGTTGTTTTTACTTGAACACCGACCGACGACAGAGTGTATTCAGTATAGATTAGTAAATCTACATACATAAACACTACCTTTTGACAATTCAGCTGTGTAAGATAAAAGTAATTAATCAATCAGCGTGTTATCGGTTAATCCTTTGATCGATGTTTATAATGTTGAATATTTACTCCAGACACAAGAAATGCCAAATGGGAACCTTTGTCGGGTAATTTAAGTGTGTTACCACTAATTATACCTGTTATAAATTCATTAACTGACCATCAAGTGAATGATGACAAATAACATGTGTAGGTTTATACCACCTAACACGGGTTACAACAAGGGAGTATTAATTGCTGTATTGCATGTGAAAACTTATGGGCCGACACTGTTTTAAGAATACAAACAGATTTTTACATGACATGATTAAATATCGAGGTAAAAAAACACAGAAATGGGATCAATTTGGATCAGTCATTATACAAATAGGGCCCTAACGACACCAATCGATTTTGACAGAATCGTCTATGAAAACAAGTTGTAACTTCGAAATTAGGCAAAGCATGAGACAAAATTAAATGACAGTAGATTGTGAGAACATATAGCTTTCATTTTCCACAACAATTGTCACGATTTCAGGTTTATACAAGCCTGTAAACAAGATAATTTAACCCTAAAATGTAGATGAATTCTGCACAGGCCCTCCTAGCTATTCCTCATATGGCGTCACAGAGTCGCGCCGCTCTGATTGGTTGAAATTTCGTTCGCGGGTGAGAATTGTGCACTGTTGTCAAAAAGGTCGATTTAAGTCAATTAAAGGTCGAAATGAGTAGTTTTAATGACGGGGTTTCATTTATAATGATGCGAGTTAGTGATTTATGTATTTTTACCCCCTAGGGTTTATGTGACCTTTAACTAAAAACTAGGTTGCATTTTGTAATATTTGGTTGCACCAATGCAAGTAATAAAGCACTAAATCGAACCCTGATAAGGTATTAGGGACCTCGACCTGATACTGACACAGGAGTACAAGCCTAGATGCACAAGGTATTGGGGACCTCAACCTGATACTGACACAGGAGTACAAGCCTAGATGCACAAGGTATTGGGGACCTCTAGCTGACACACTGACACAGGAGTACCAAATTTCCAAAATGACACTTTTTTCCCAGTTTGCATCCCCAGTGCCATTCATCTGGAATCTTATATAACTCCTTGATATACCATGTAGTAGTGGTGTGAAAGATCGAAAGAAGGATTAAAAATGATTATTGATTATAAAAAATATATGTTTGAATAATTGGAATTTTGTTGTTTTTGAATAACACACTTGAATTAAGTATACTAACCATTTGATTTGATGAATAGTCACGAACAAACATGCGTCTACAGCATGAAGCTATGCGCATTGTAAAACTTTAACCACTTTTATTGTTTAATTACAATTCCAGTGTCTTACTTGCATGCATGCATTTCAATGCATGACAGTATTAGTTATAAAAAAACATTAATTAGAAAAACCTGGGCAAAAGCCCATAAAATTGGTGATTACATTAAAAATGTATATATTTCGATTATAATCGATGATCGTTCACAACAAGTCTTCCGATAATCGATAGTGGATTTGGTTTCCGATTCCCAACACTACCATGTAGTATGTTCAAATACAATATACATGATGACATGGTGGGCGAGCTGTCAAGGACGTCAGGCTAGTGATCCAGCGAGATTGAGGTGTTGGGATCGAGCCCACCTGTGACCGGGTGTACAAACCTTGGAGTCAACTTTGCGTGCAGACCCTTTCAGTGTTGTCACAACCCCTACTGTACAGTACACAACCCTGTGCACTTAAAAGAACCTACAAATCCATTGGTATAAGACCAGATGGTGGCCACATGAATACGTGCAAACACCTAGTTGCAGGTACAGCAATGTGCAGTAAACTTGGACAAAGTACTGTGACTGTGTGTCCCAGTCCACCCAGCTGTGATTGGGTACCTCGTAAGGATGGGAAAGCCGCAATAACTCGGTGGCTGCAAGAGTTGTATACTCCCCAGGGAGTTGAGAATGATAATATGATGTGCCGTTGAGATTGACGTCCAATGATCGAAAGAAACAAATACCAGCGCCTTGACGCCTTGTGTGGATATGTGCGCTATATAAATATCCTATAATAATGATAAAACAAGAACTTCAGGGTAAATGTTTTTACCTTTCAGAGTTTGCAGGACGACTTGTGACTGGTTTGATGATACTAATTTTCTCAAAGGCATGGTACATGAGATACACGAGGCCCACGCTGAATGGTGTAAACAGATCAAATAACTTGCACACAAAGTGGCCACCTGTAAACATACCAACATACATCAATAATTCCTGCTTACAAGATTAATATAAGAAATCCCAAATATATTTTGTTCTCATCCCTGGTGTTTTCAGAATGCATAAATATCCTCTGGATGTCTGTTTTGTAAAAATATGTAATTTTTCAAGTAGAATTGATATTTTTATACTTATCCTGAACTTCAAGGGATTCAAGTGTTCCACTACCATTCACAAGGGAAAGGGAGATAAGCAAAGACCATGAGTCAGGATAAGAAAAAATGTTGTAATATAATAAAAATGTGAGATAATTGTTGTATTTTGTTTTGTTTGAATGTTGGATATGTTGAAATGGGAACATGCGCATCAAAAGATCCCATGGACATCTCCAATATGGTCTTTCCTTGATTTCCTTTAAGTCTTTCTAGATTACTTCATAGTGTCGATTAAGTGCTATATATATGATCCTATTATTATGATTATTATCCTTACTTACTCCAATGACAGCATGAACTTATTATGATTTAACATCTGAAGTTGTTTTGTGGCTTTCCAATTTCATCTAATAAAATATGATTCAAAAGCACAACAAAACAATACAAACAAGTGTTCGCCACTAACATGGCAATGTCCCCTGCAACAAGACTGAAATATAACATATTTACTAGTTTTTATATTTTGGCCACATAGAAGATTACCTTTTGTGTGATATAGTTTTTAGTCATTTCTGAGAATCTTCTCCTAACTATGAAGATATTTCAGGAATACAGTAGACTTGAATGTATAGACGCAGATGCACATATCCACTGTCAGTATCAGTGTGTATTAGGGCTCGGACGGGTCCAAAGTTTCTACCTGAGTACCCAACCCCCTATTACCCTACCCTACCAGGATACCCGTTATGCTAATGCCTGACATCAGATTTTTAAGAAATACCAATATATTCTTCAGCTTGGAGGCTAAAATTTTGAGTTTTTCAATATCTTAACCATGTATTACATTCAAAACAGGTGGCTGTAAATTATGTCTAAATCTTCAAAGACAATACAACCTTTTAATCATGAAAGATTAACACATTACATTGTTTAATCTATTAGTCACATGATCATAACGGGTGTGGGTATTAAGTTGGGTGAGATTTTGAAAAGTGTCACGTGACCTTGAAAGTAAGGTCAACATCACCCTGAAATGACTGGTGTCTGTGTAATCACCCAATGTAGGCTGTTGACATAATTGAAGACATTGGGTGCAACGTGTTATGAGAAATCGCATTTACATAAGTTTGAAAAGTGGTCAAAGTGTCATGGTGACCTTGAAGTTAAGGTCAAGGTCACCCAAATCGACTGGTATCTGCGTAATCCCCCATTGTAGGCTGTCACCAAATTTGATGACATTGGGTACAACAGTTCATGAGATAGCGCATTAAAAATAGTTTAAAAAGTGGTCTCCTTAACAAGAATAGGACAATACCCCTATAGAAACATTGTCAGTCATCTGGACTAGGCAGGTATTGTGAAAGTCAGTGAACATCACCTTCACGCAGAGTGGACAGGGCCACCAGGAACTGACACAGGTACAGCTGCTTCGATAAAATCTCCTGGATGTTTTCTTGTCCTTCCACTGAGAAACCCTGCAAATATCAACAAGTCACTCAACTGTTGCCTCGATTATCACATGAACAATTGTTAACTACATCGCTAATTTACAAAAGATAACTTTATCCTACAACCAAGTCATCATTCAAGAGTTTACAATGTCTGTATGATGCAACAACTTTCTACACACCCAACACATCATAATGATTATTATATCACCAGAACAAACAAAGAGTATAAGTACTGAATTTTTTTAACAATAACTCCAAATATGAAATGAACTCACTTTTTATTTAGTTTTCACTTTAAATGAAGACCAGCTAAATTAACTCAAATTAACATACACTGACTACTGAAACAGAACAGTATAACAGTAAAATGATTCCAAGCTCTTACGCCATCCGCCATGACAAAATGGAGGCCCTTTCCATCTGTGTTTTCCAGGACAAACTTAGTGAAAGCTTCCTGATTGGCTGGTCTAAATATGTCACCATCTCCTTCCAAACCACCTTCACCTGCAGGACAGACATTAGGTCTTACTCCCAGATAATACTCCCTTGAGCAGTATAAGAATGACCATTTTTCTTTAACTTCTACATAAATAATAAGGATCGACTTTGATTTTTAGATGAACTTAACAGAAAACACTTGAAAGTCAAAGGATCCTTAGCAGAACCCTATATTTTACAGTAACAACATCAGGGTGTCCATAGATAAGACCGCATGCCAAAGAATACGACATTAAGCACAAAGACTGAAATGGATTCGGTCTTCTTGTTAAGATGCTGGACTGTCATATGTGTCTTTGTAGTTTAACGCTACAATCAGCAATGTTCGGGCTGTATGATGGCAGCCATCAGTGTCGTGACACCCATCAGGGAACACCGCCATCATAAGGGAAACAAGATTTTTTCTGGTGAGTGGACAACATTGAGATATCACACTTCTTACCATAGTGAGGTTCGAACATTTCACTTGGTCCAGCAAAGAAGTCTTCCAATTTGAAGTCGTTGCCGACTCGAAGAGTGAAGCCAAAGCCCTTCGCATCCCCCTTCTTCCTCCACAGAACGTACTCGCTAAACCCCCCCGGCCCGGCACAGATGTCCGCAAAGTACAACAGTTCATTGGAGCCAACCATTTTGTGCTGCAGACAGAGGACAAACAAACTCAGATAAAGAAATTATAGGGGAAGTTATTTGTAGCAACAAGCCACAAAAATGGTGACCATGGAATGAACAAAGTTGTGATTTCCAAAACAACTTCTCTGGTATAGTGGCTTGACACATCTAGATGGTGACAGTCAGTTCAAGCAAGACACTTTCCAACTGAGCATTTTTCCAAATTGTCCCTCATTAGGGTTACTGTGAGCAAATATTTGTGAGTGTTTTTTCTTGTGAGCATCAGATGTTAGACTACTTACACCGTCAGGGGATTTAGGTGTTGTGAACATGAAGTCTAACAGAGCGTCCATGTTGGCCATCTTCATTGCCGCTCTGCAAAGGAAATGAAACATGTCAGCAGTTGTAAATATCACTTCCCTAAATCAAACAAAGACTTGAAACAATTGATGTCACACACTTCCTCAAGATACACCTTAGGTTTTACTGGGTTGAAGTATGACATGCCGTTCAAGTCAACTGGTTAATTGCATCTGTGATCAGTATTTCCGTTATATCATGGCATCTTCCATGAAGGCGGGGGAAAGCCCAAAGTGACACAAGTCAGACATTTACCACTTGGCATGACAAATCAATCATCATAATCATAGGATTCAAACTCACTATTAAAGGACTACAATCTAAGGCAACCTAAGGGGCACAACTCTGCATAGCAAATTGTGGTGCTTTAGACGACTGGGCCACCAAGGCCCCCTCCTTGCCCCCTCCTCCTATATACTTGTGAGAATAAAGCAATAACAGTGAGATAGTCATGACATGCTTTCCATATGGATAATTAAACTAAACCAGACAGTCATGATACCTACAACTCTACATCTGTGTCATATATTCTGCAAAATCATACTGTTCCCTCTGGCTGTGACGATTAGGTTTGTGACTATATTTTGACCAAAGGATTCTCATTCAAATGAGTCTGTAAACAAACACTCACAACTGGGTTCACATAGTAAAACTCATTGTAATACAAGACAACATCTGATCCAGCCTAAGATTACTGCAAACTTTATAATAAACTATAAACCATAAGATTTCAGTATATTCAGTGTACGTCTTCTTACCGGTTGAGGAAAATGCACCTCTGATAGTTTCGTAAGGATTGGATCTTGTTCTTGCTCGCCTCATTTCCTCTGGTTCCAGTTGATCAAACACGGACTACACAAGTTAGACATGGTGGGATATTATCATGAACATTCTGTTTGTCATTTACATGCAAAATGAAAATAAACTACACTCTGCTGCGTCCACTGACTTAAATAACTGTCAGCACACAAAATAGACAAACATGCGGTCTCTGAAATAAAGTAACATTTATTACATTGAAAACATAGTTCTTTTATGGGAGACCTGAGTATTAAGGAACCCTCAAGTCTAAATTGAGGATACAGACCAGTGAATGAGATGAGAAAGGCTGATAATCCATAGAATGAAACATTTATAGGCTGCAAGGGCTAAAAATGGGATGAGCATCATCTTCTGGAATGGGGGCAATAGTTTTATCAAATATGTGCCCTAGAGCCGTTGAGAAGGCCTATACAAAAACTACAAGAAAAATTTCTAGTTTCTTTACATAAAGATAAATACCTTGCTGCCTAGAATCAGTCGCAGAATATTTGGTGAACAGAATATGTCTTCATCATCAATATCTCTTTTTTTTCTGAAAATAGTTGATAGAAAACACGCATTTACAAACAACTTCATCCAAGCAAACACAAATAGTTTATTAAAATCTAAATATTTTAGATATTTAAATACTTACCATACCATAGGTCTTATGCATATTACCTCAAGCTCCGCTTATAAGAGATCAGACAGTCGTTGATTCGCCATTCTCTAGAATGGCTGCCTCAAGTATCGACGAGTGTACAGGAACAGAAGTGACGTGATCTCCCTTCCCGCGCAAGCGCGGTCTATCCAAACATCACTTTTACTTACCAGGTCCGAAGAGCCCAGAGAGGGGAGGAGCATCCAGCGTTAGGAGGGAGTTACCCGCCCTATGGTAAGGTAAGTATTTAAATATCTAAAATATTTAGATTTTAATAAATTTTTAACTTACCTTACCATAGGTCTTATGCATATGGATTCGACAGTAGGACGGCGGTGTCGGGCTCCAGAGGACCGTCCCATGAAGAAAAACAAGACCACATGCCAAGGGAAACCAAGGAAAACTAACTGAATCGGCAGACTGTCGCATGAAGCGCCTGGAACAACAAACAGACAGTAACCCAAGGAAACCCTAAGGAAAACAAATACACCCAGGGCATAAGTTATCCTTAAGACCAGAAGGTAAGGAGAAGTAGTTACCTAATGGGCGGTAGGTCGGGTGAGTTGCTGGGCAACCACCAGTGGACCAAAGGATTGCAGACCTTCAGCATCCTCGACGGCCAAATGCCGCAGGTAGTGGCTAGCAAAGACAGTAGAGGACTTCCAGACTACCCTCCATGATGGCTGGAACGGTGCAGTTTCTGTGGAGAGCCATGGTGGATGCCAGAGCCCTAATCTCGTGCGGGTTATTGGCTGTAGGGTGAGGCAGATCTTGTGCATCGTAGGCAGCCAGAATGGTCGTACGTAGCCAGAGCGCAATAGTATTTCTATTAACTTCACCTTTTGCCGCAGAGGTAAATGGGATGAACAGTCTCTTGCGAGACTGCCTCCTGGATGATGATTTGGCAACATACATCTTAAGAGCCCTCACAGGACAAAGCAGCTGTTCCTCAGAGTCGTGGGGTCCTAAAATGGAAGACAATGGAGGAATGGAGAACATTCTGTCCGGTTGTCCTGGCAGCTGGTTCTTAGCCACGAAATCCCAAAGCAGTCCCAGATGAACAAGACCATGCTGCGACTGCTCAAATCGCACCCTGGTGACATCCAATGCGTGGATCTCACTGACCCTAGCCGCCGTGGCCAGGGCCAAGAGAAAAGCTGTCTTTCTGGAGAGGTTCTCGAATGAAGCAGTGTCCAAGGGCTCATAAGGCAGACCTCTCAGATGCTGGAGAACGATGGTAAGGTCCCAAGCAGGAGGATGAAACTTTGCCTTCTGGTCCTTCAGCTTGAAAGCTTTGAGTACAGCGATGAGCTCCGGCACCTTGGAAATCTTTTTGTTGCACTTGACCGCCAAAACAGAGTTAAGAGCCGATAAATAAGTTCCTATAGCTACACCCGTGGAGAAGCCCTTGGCCTTCAGCACCTTTTGCAGATGATCCAACCGTACAGATGAAATCGAGTCGGATCGGGATGCAGCTGTCGACTGTGCAGATGCCTGAGCAGGTGAGGCCACTCTGGTAACTGTTGCGGACTTCTTTCGGCGAGACGGCGCAGATCTGGGAACCAGGTTTTTGTTGGCCACCAAGGCGCGACCAAAAGCAGATGAATCATCTCTGTCCGCTTGACCTTTGCTATCACTGCTGGCAGCAGAACTGGTGGTGGAAAGGCGTATGCGTCCAGACCCTCCCACGACAAGGACATGGCATCGACTGCCCATGCCGCCGGATCTGGAATCGGAGACACGTACAACGGAAGCTGCACTCTGTGGAGAACCCAATAAACGTTTGAGGGATTCATCATGAGCCGCGCCTCCATCAGCGAATTCCAAGCTATGTATCTTTGCGCAACTTAGGAGCCTTAATAGTAGTATTGAGAGACAGTATAGCAAAGTCGGCATTTAAAGAGGCCACCGCATCGGCCACCATTGGGTGAGGCGGGATGAGTAACTCGGGAGAAGACCTAATAGCTCTCGGGTCGTCAGAGCCTGAAGAGGGAGAAGGACAATCTGGCAGTCTGTCGGCAATCCAGTCAAACACAGCAGATAGGGGGAGGTAAGTACCACCATCATCTTCCTCTTGTAACATCTCTTCGTTATAATCGGGAGAAAAATAGAGCTCCTCAGCGCCCTCCCAGGACACGGTAGGAGCATTATACCATTGGCCAGAAGCAGCAGGCATTGGGCGCTCAGATGACAGCTGAGAAACAGCACTAAAGGTAACTGTAGGGGAACGTGGTCGAGCGGCGAGCGGCGAAAAGGAGGCGACCTTGAATGGGACCGACGGTAGCACCTCCCACGAGTCGGTGACCTTGAACGCCTCTCCCTATCATTGGGACTTCTGGGAGAGCGAGACCTGGAATCAGACCGACGACGGCGATGACTAGTATCAGAACTATGACGAGGACTTCTAGAACGATGGCGCTGTTGAGGAGACCTAGAGTGAGACCGCTTAGAACGACGGGAGCGTTCGGCTTCTTGGCGTCGGGAACGCTCTTCCAATAACGGATGCTGTAAATCCTCCTCTCGAGACAACGTAGACACAGATGCCTTCTTGGGGATACGGCGTCGGGGGAGGCGCTGGTTGATGCAACAATCCAACAACGTCAGAGCTAGGTGCCTAGGCCATCGGCGCTGGAACTGCACTAGGCAACGCAGAAGTCGGCGCTGGGACAGAGCCAGGTAACGAGGGGGACGGCGCTGGAACGGCACTAGCTCTCTTTTAAGCGGAGCTTGAGGTAATATGCATAAGACCTATGGTAAGGTCAGTTAAAAATGTGGGTTTCTTTATTATCTGGACAAGCCAATGCTACTGTGTCAACAGTACGGTCATGCTGTCAGATCATGATGACCTACAATCAGCCAGAGTGCCGTTGTACAAAGCGATCTTAGCACTAAGGTGACCCTAACTCCCATACCTTAACATAGACTTAAGGTAACCTTAGAGCTAAGGTGATCGCAACTCCCATACCTTAACATAGACTTAAGGTAACCTTAGCGCTAAGGTGATCGTAACTCCCATACCTTAACATAGACTTAAGGTAGCCTTCGCGCTAAGGTGATCGTAACTCCCATACCTTAACATAGACTTAAGGTAACCTTAGCGCTAAGGTGATCGTAACTCCCATACCTAAACATAGACTTAAGGTAACCTTAGAGCTAAGGTGATCGTAACTCCCATACCTTAACATAGACTTAAGGTAACCTTAGCGCTAAGGTGATCGTAACTCCCATACCTTAACATAGACTTAAGGTAGCCTTAGCGCTAAGGTGATCATAACTCCCATACCTTAACATAGACTTAAGGTAACCTTAGCGCTAAGGTGATCGTAACTCCCATACCTAAACATAGACTTAAGGTAACCTTAGCGCTAAGGTGATCGTAACTCCCATACCTTAACATAGACTTAAGGTAACCTTAGAGCTAAGGTGATCGTAACTCCCATACCTTAACATAGACTTAAGGTAACCTTAGAGCTAAGGTGATCATAACTCCCATACCTTAACATAGACTTAAGGTAGCCTTAGCGCTAAGGTGATCGTAACTCCCATACCTTAACATAGACTTAAGGTAGCCTTAGCTAAGGTGATCGTGAACTCCCATACCTTAACATAGACTTAAGGTATAGCTAAGGTGATCATAACTCCCATACCTTAACATAGACTTAAGGTAGCCTTAGCGCTAAGGTGATCGTAACTCCCATACCTTAACATAGACTTAAGGTAGCCTTAGCGCTAAGGTGATCGTAACTCCCATACCTTAACATAGACTTAAGGTAGTCTTACCACTAAGGTGACTGTAACTCCCATACCTTAACACAGACTTAAGGTAGCCTTAGCGCTAAGGTGACTGTAACTCCCATACCTTAACATAGACTTAAGGTAGCTTTAGCGCTAAGGTTGTTTTGTACAACAGGACCCAGGTCATGACACACTGTCAGCCAGGTCACAATGACACACATTCAGCCAGTTGCACCCACCTAATTATTAGCAGGGGTTCAAATTTTTTTTAAAAAGCCACTTGCCACAGGGCAAGTGACTTTAAGAAAGTAACTTGTCCTGACTAATTTTCCACTTGCCCTGATTTTATGACATAATTATGATGATGTTATTATGAAAGAAGAAATCAACATGGTATTTGATGTTAATGTTTACTGGACTACTTATTGAAAAGTGATAAATAGCAAAGAAAGATAACTCTACTTTATTATCATTGCGAAATGTAATAGCTACATTTTGAGCAGATATGTAATTAAATCCAAATTTATTTGCGGTTTGAAACCATAAGTGGAAATTATCTAGTAGCCCACGGAAAAGTAAGATACCATTATTTGATTGCCTGAAATGAAAACTGACTTGTCCCGGGCGTCGGGCGATGGGATTTTTGAACCCCTGATTAGTCAGCTCTTACCACAAGCCTGGTGGGACCAATTCAGTGGTCTACACAAAAATCCAGGCAGGTAAAAGATTTTACATTATTGACAACCAGTATCATGAATGTGTTAACCACAGCTAAAGACCACAGGGACTTTCTTGTGTTGATCAAGTAGTACAAATACTGCCCAATACTGTATTCCTACTAATATACTAACAGAACATTGCACCTAAGATATACATGGGTAACATGTTAAGAAAGAAGAAAGAGTTCTTTGCGAGACACACATGTCCTTTTCATCATGTTCATAGGAATTGATGATCAGTGCTTTATAAAGAGGAAATTGAGCCCGGTGGTGTTGGGGGTTGTCCCCATGCCAGATCCAATGAGCCCAGCGCGATCAAATCCGCGGATCGGCAGAAAATTCTCATCTCTGTTTATCATGATAAAGAAACATCAGCTCACCCATTCTCCTTGCAATTCTACTTTTAACATGCTTATACAAAATGAACTGACAGTGTAACGCATGTTCTACGATTTAGACTCTGCACAAGGAGCAGAGTGCACTATTTGACACAAAGACTGTGATCTCTTACCGGTCCAATACGCTTCCATGTCATCATCTCCTCCAAGGAGGGGACAGCAGAAACACAGGGTGGGCACCACTCCACTTCCTCCTCCATGATCACCTGCCAACATCATATCACTCAACATCAGCAGCAATACCAGAATATGCTGGGAGCATAATGTTTGATCAGGGACTCTACTCCACAGGGTGTTGCATTTTTTCTGTGTAATGGGTAATCCCCAGCTGCGAGATAGATATTCATCATAAAATCTTAATTGGCAGAGAAGGAAAAAGTCGACTGAATTACATACACCTAGCTAGCTAGGACTGCCAATCCGCCAGACTTGAGTACTCATGTAAACACGTTGGATATTAACTAGAACTTGTCATAACTACTGTTTTATCAGCATTCTAGAAGTTAATCAGTCAATAATGAAGCATATGACTTGATGCATAACAACTTCTTGTTTATTGCATAGAGCAACATTTCGGTGTAGATTCTTACACTTTTATAAGATACACTTAGCTTGATAATGGTGTGAGAATCTACACATTCTATGCAATAAACGAGAAGTTGTGACCCATAAAGTCATATGCTTCATTACTGTTCTAACCCATTGCTTTGCCAAGTCAGCACTGGTACTGGTAGACTATTCAACAGAAGTGTTTGTTTCTTTTACATAGTGTCTTTATGAATATCATCAACACAACACATACCGATAATGGTGAGACACAAATACAGGCACATGTGACATAACCATAACTGTTGTTAATATACTGTTGGATACTGAACTGATTGTCTAGTGACTGTAATCTACTTCAGTACTTGTCAACTCGAAGAACTACTGTATTTTCCAGCAAAATGTGGAAAACAAACTCAATCCATGCGACTTACCTCTTCCTCTTCAAAGTTCCACTCGATGTCTGTTGCCTCAAGGCCATCCAGGTGAAGACCCAGACCTCGACGACCTCGCTGATTGGACGCCTCCACGATCTCCACACGTCCTTGACCAAACTTTCCCAGACCTGTGCCAGCCTTGTATCCCATTTTTTCCTATAACACACATAAAACACAAGTATTAACTGACTACTGTAGAAACAACATCACTGATCAGTGTCCATTATTCATTTATTCAGAGCAGAGTGAGTGAGTGAGTGAGTGTGAGTGAGTGAAGACAATAGCCCATCAATTCTATAAATTATAAAGTTAGGGCCAGTCAACTACCACTTCATAGCATGAGCAATGATCTACATAGATCATTCCTTTGTTCATAGATCTAATTAACAGAACCTGTTGAATGCACCTCAGGATCAACATTAGTAACAGAAAATGATTGATGCTTTGCTAGAAAGTCTTACCATCATCTTGCTAACTTTCTCTGAGCTGACAGAGGCCTTGGTGCCAGTGTTTGTCTTAATGTATTTAGATAGGGGCTTCTCATTGTCTGGATCCCCTCCTCCAATGTCACCTCCCCCCATGAGGGATCTTTTACCAAATCCTTCAAATGATGGACGTGCATCATCTTCAGAGGAATCTGAATCTTTAAAGAAAACAAATGTAAGGGTAATCTGAACAATGTTAACAAAAGAAGTTTAAAATGTAATATCAGTGAGAAAATCCTGGTAAGGTATAAAGGAACACATCTTATATATATTGAGAGCAACAGAAACTTGAAGAAAGTTCGTAAGCCTGAGAACATTGCTATGAGGGCAATCATATGTAAAATGTTAAGGGACAGACCAAAGAATGGCACCAGTCAAAATTGGCGACACCAAAAAAGGCTACAATTTTTTTAGCAAAATGGCAGGAATTTTCTTACAATTCTGGAACCAAAAACATTGTTCGAAAAAAATCAAATTTTTAGTCTTAAATAATAATTAGACTTACAAATGATACATATGGGCAACATGCTTATGACAAATCCATTTTGCTAGTTATGTGTTTATCGTACATTTGTGGGTAAGAGTTCCGCCCGTAATTCCCGCTTGAAATGTATTCTATTTATTAGGATTATTTCGAGGGTTTAGGGTTAGGTTTGGGGTTAGATTTTAGGGTTAGGTTTAGGGTTAGGCATATAGCTATTTATAAAAAAAACATAGGCATATATTCTTAGGTATATAATGATTTTAAACAATAAGGGGGTTACGGGCGGAAATCTTTCCCATTTGTGGATACAACTTGTTACAATAAAACAATTTTGATCTCACAACCTTAAATTATTAATATTACTGCTAGCACACATTGCTCACAGTTGACAGAGAAGGATCTGGGCCAATTGTTTTCTTGAAATGAAGCAGTCATAAAATGACTAATAGAACCTCATTCGAATGGTAAATTAGTAGAATACTGGATTTGTAACCTTGGCATCTTGATTAAGGAGACCATATTTAATATATTTGTTTGCAGCTCCTCGCTTTGAAATTACAACACCGAACATAACGCAGAATATGCTACTTTCGATTTCACTTTAGTTTAATACCAATTTATCGATACCTTAAATATATTATCTCAGGGTTAGTGTAACATACACACCTGACAACTGACTCATGCTTTGTTTGCACTGTAATAAAGATGTCTTTGCAAAAAAGTTTCCTTCAACACACTACTGATTCATCAACACGATGCTACACATAGAGAGGGTTATCCGCTTAGCGCCTGTTTTGTTTTACCGGAAGCGAATACTCTTTCTATCTCTTAAAAGAAGACTTTAGAGTTACCCCCCTTTGAGAATCATTAGCCTAGACTTACTTTTAAGCGTTTCCTTGCACACAAGAATGTTGGAAGCATAGTTACATTATTTAGATAGACAAAGTGACAGGACATTGCAGCAAGGAGCGCCGAGTGATATATTTTAATCATTTATGCAGCTCCTCGCTTTGATGAAAACACTAAAGCCAAAACCAAATGCTATTTTTCAGTTTAATATAAAAGTATCCAATAAATTTGAAAAGAAAATATTTGAAAATAATTTTTAAATCATTAAATAGGATAATTTGAATGTGGTGGTGTGTGGTCCTGTGAACTCAGGTAAAAAATCAGGTGAAGTTAAGCAACGTTGGGCGCGGAGGGTCCTTGGATTTGGCAGCTTGACCACAACGAAATACATGTGATCTCACCTTAGGCAGGGGGAGTTTGTTCAAATTTGAATTTCTTCACCCAGCAGAAAATGGGTACCCGGTGGGATAAGTCATGTGACTATGACCTTCTTACGCCTAACACACAGCTTGGGTTACCGGAGTAATATTGTGCTGTGCTATTCACTGTTAGCGCTATCTGCATACCTGGTGTGGCGTTTCGCGCTATACAAATAAACACATTATTGAATGCACTATTGAATCGGTCCTTGCATTGTTTCGTTCAAACTTGAATCAGTTAACGTTTTCTGGAAAAATGTGGGACATAAAAGAAAAAATGAACTGGATAATATTTTCATCAATGGTTTACTCTAAAACTAATACAATGATCTTGTTTAAATTGGCCATACTCGAGAAAACCTGCCCAGAACAAATCTGTAGTCATAAATATTTCCATTTCTGTACAGCACCACTAATTAATGACGAGTAAACATGAACCATAAACGCAATATTTTTAGAGTCAGTACGTTCGGAAGCTATGCAACTGAGTCAACATTTCTAATTGCTACGGTAGTATGCCTTGTTTCAAACAAACTCTGTACATGTAATGAAATACTGAACGTTAGATGGTACCATAACATATTCGGTCTGTTTGACACACATGGAACCAAGAAAATGTCCATAAATTACAAATTGAGGAAACCTAGGTTTCACGTATTCGTATGCTCTATGTATTGGTACTTCAATTAAGGACTGATTGTGTTTTTCGCGGCCGATTGATGTATGAATCGAAAACTCGACGTGCAAACTGCGTGACTCTGCGTAGCGGACTCTTATAAATGTTTGCATGTGGAATTAATGAAATAATTCCATTTAGCATTATTTGGCTAAATGTCGTTATTGTACGCGCCATGCATTTCCTGAATTCCTACAATTATTCTCATTCTACTGACAATTACATATAATTTCTTTACAGCAAACACAATAAATTCCTCTTAACAAAACACGTGCTCATGTTTACAAACACCGAAAGATGTGCATTTCATCACATCCGCTTACATTACGTCATCACACAATTGGAGACGTCATCATAATATTTATATTACGTCACTTTCTTTCATTCCTCCGCCATTTTAGATAACCGTCATTTTATCAACCACTTGTTAGCAATTTCATTTTATCATCTTTTTCTCAGTGTAGTGTGGTGTAGTGCAGTACAGTGTTGTGTAGTATAGTGTAGTCTAGTCTAGCGTAGTGTAATTACACTGTAATCACAGTGTAAGCAGCATTTGTGCAACGATGCCTCCTAAACGTAAAGCGTCGCTTAACCATAGACTGGTCGGACTCAGCCTGCGGCAAAGAAACAGAATGCGGGCAGGTCGAATACAACAACGGCGCCACAAGATAATGCAGGTAATGTTACAGACAATGGCATCATTACTATTGATCCGGGTGTCATATTGCAATCAAATCAAAATGTGAATCAGTCTCAATCTGCGATACCGCCGGGTAGTGACATGCACCGCGCTCTAGCCTGGTTATCACAGCTCGCATCTCAAGGTAATTTCCCATCTCCTCCACCCGCTGCTTCACGTACAAATATCTCCTCACCCCAATCTCTCCAAAGTCAGTTACCGCTCACATATCCCGTGGAAGTAATAGGCTCACACGTAAAGGAAGCCGTTCGGCAAAAAATCCTCAATGGCGAGTATGTTGACTTCCGTAATTTGCTCCCATCGGATAACCAACCTCTCGATGACCATGTCCCGCTTAGACTTGTTTCAGATAGCAATGGTCAGGTCTTGTTCAAGCCATATGAATCTCACACTGCACGTCCACTGACTATTAGCGCATGGACGACTGCTTTCCATATCTTCATGGGGATATACGTAAGCAAGCACGCAGACCGAGTGCAGGAATTACTGTCATACGCTGAAACAATCAGGGGAGCAGCCTTCAAGCACGGCGGAGATTCATGGGCAACCTACGATTATCACTTGCGTCACAAAATGGCACGTGACCCAGCCAGGTCATGGGGTAAGATTGACGGTGACCTTTGGTTAAAGTGTATGTTGCCAGGTAAGAAAACCATGTCACCAAGCATTCCTTCTTTCTCCAAAACGTCAAAGGGTGATGATAATGTATGTTGGGATTTTAATCGTTCTCAGTGTACAAGATCCGTGTGCAAGTTCCCACACAGGTGTTCCAAGTGTCAGAGTTTCAACCACGGTGCCCGCTCTTGTCAGTCGTCACTTTTTCGTTCCCGAAACGCACCAGGCACGACCCAGCAACACCACAAGTACCAAAATGCCAGCACAACCGTCACAAGTACAGGTAAAACAATTGGCTCAGGTACCAATAAATCTTACTAATCTCTCTCCCTGGCTATCTCTCTATGGTACTGTAAATATGTTGGATGCACAGTTGTTGTTTCAGGGTTTTTCTGAGGGTTTCAATTTGCAGTACACTGGGCCTACTGGACCAAGGTTTGCACACAATCTCAAGTCAGCTACCCAACTTCCACACGTGACAGCTGAAAAACTCAACAAAGAAATCAAACTGGGGAGAATATGTGGACCGTTTAAATCTCCTCCCTTTCCGGATTTGATTGTATCACCGATAGGTTTGGTAGGCAAAAAAGGTTAGCAGTGAATCGGTGCCCACAGACGATCACTACAGGCTTATTCATCACTTATCTTACCCAGAAGGTAGGTCTATTAACGATTTTATCCCCCAGGAGCTTTCGTCGGTGACCTACACAAAATTCGACGAAGCAGTTACCATGGTACAAAAGTTGGGTAAAGGTGCCGAGTTGGCCAAATTTGATGTCAAATCTGCGTTCAGATTGATTCCGGTCCGCCCCAAAGACTTTCATCTTCTAGGAATGTGTTTTCAAGGTAAATATTACTTCGATAAATGTTTACCATTTGGATGCTCGATTTCCTGTGCATTATTTGAAAAGTTCAGCACATTTCTTGAATGGTGCATCATAAAGAAAAGCTCCTCGCATTCCTTAATTCATTACCTTGATGATTTCTTGTTAGGGGGCTATCACTTTACAAACACATGTTCTGAATTATTTAAACTTTCTATGGACATGTTTCAGCAATTTGGTGTGCCGATTGCAAATGACAAAACTGTCGGACCCTCCACTACAATCACATTTTGGGCCTGACGATAGACACTGTAGCTATGGAGGTGACAATACCGGCGGAGAAGATAACAGAGGTCACCCGGCAGATACAAGCAATCCTTACGAGCAGTAAAAGAAAATACGGGTAGTAGAGGTGCAATCATTGGTCGGTAGACTCCAGTTCATTACACGTGCTATCCCAGCGGGCAGAGCTTTCTGCAGGCGCCTGTACGACGCTATCAAGGGTCAGGTAAAACCATATCACCGAGTCAGGATTACCAGGGGAGTGAAAGAAGATCTTAAAGTCTGGCAAACATTTCTCCTCAACCATAATGGTACATCTGTGTTTCAGAATGAAGAGTGGATCACGTCAACCCAAATAGAGCTTTTCACAGACGCTGCCAGTTCGTGCGGGTTCGGGGTATACTTCCATGGGAGTTGGGCGTATGGTAAATGGCCAGGCGAATGGGTGAGAGCGGGTTACATGAAAGACATGACTTTCCTGGAATTGTTTCCTGTCATCGTAGCCCTACGTTTGTGGGCACCTAAGTTTCTTAACAACAAGGTAATGTTTGTGTGTGACAACCAAGCTGTCGTGTCCATCATCAACAGGCAAACATCCAAGAACCCCAAGGTGATGTCTCTCGTGCGTTTGCTAGTAACTTCATGTCTGAATCATAATATTCTGTTCCGTTCCAGGTACATTTCTACTCATGATAATGTTATAGCTGATGCTATTTCGAGGTTTCAGTGGGATCGTTTCCGGGAAGCAGCACCACAAGCAGACTCAACAGCAACACCACTACCACTGGACATCTGGGACATCTAAGACTGGAGTCGGACCGTTTACTGGACCTGTCACTATCCAGAAACACTTGGAGGACCTATCATACAGCGTTACAGTCTTTCAACGAGTTCAGAGTGTCACATTGTCTCCCATCTACATGGCCGGCACCGCTTGATCATATTATGTATTACTTGTCAGCATTGTCATTGCAGGGTAAATCGTCTAGAACGGCCAACGCCTATATCTCAGCACTGGGAACCTGGCACAAGTGGCACGACATGCAGGATGCATCCCAACATTTCCTGGTGCGGAAGACGCTCTTAGGATTCAGCAAAGCAGCTAGGGCCAAAGACAGTCGACGCCCCATCACAGCAGAAATATTATTATCAATTTCCAACGTTCTTCATATTGTTTGTTCTTCTGTTTATGAATGCAATCTTTTTAAAGCAGCATATACACTGGCCTTTTTCGGTTTCTTCAGGATAAGTGAGTTGGTACCTTCCTCCCTTTCTGACACGTCGCGTAGGTCTCTCACTATTCATGATGTAAAGATTACAGGTAACGCAGCGGCCATGCATGTCACACTTCAATATTCTAAGACTGATCAAACAGGTAAAGGTACTTCTATCCACATCAAAGCTATTCCATATTCTCCGCTATGTCCCGTCGCTGCCATGGCAACATATTTAAAATCGCGACCGACTGCTTCCCCTTATCTTTTCCTTCACTTTGATGGCAAACAACTAACTAGATTTCAGTTTCAGGCAGTGCTGCAGAAAGCCATCAGTCATCTTGACGTGGGGCATCTTAAATTCACTTCTCACTCTTTCAGAATCGGGGCTGCTACTACGGCAGCTATGAACGGTGTTGATGCAGAGACCATTAAAAGATTTGGTCGATGGTCATCTGATTGTTATCTCCAATATATAAGAATGTAAACTGCTTCCATAATTATAATGACAAATTGTGTAATCGTTGTAGGTGTGTGGGTAGTTGGCGACAGCTACCTGGCCCGAGCGAGACCTGCGCTGGCGGACACCCTCGGCAGCATGGGCCCGGTGGAGTGGCGTGTCAAGGGGGGCTGGAAATGGCGCCATTACAGGCCGGCAATAGATGATCTGATCGCCAACTCAGCCAGTCAACCCCGGATCCTAGTATTACACCTGGGCTCAAACGACCTCGGAGTCACCACCGGCCGGGAGCTCTTTGAGCAGATCATGGAGCAGCTACTCTACACTCGGTTGCGGCTTCCCCACACCAGGCTCCTTTGGTCCAATATGTTGCCGCGGTGTTGCTGGCGATATGCTAGAGATATTAAGTGTGTTGAACTTGGCCGTAAGAAGCTGAATAGGCGTGTTGCCAATCTTATGAGGACAATCGACGGTGAAGTCATCCGCCACGACTTTATCTACCCAGGTGTAGATCACTACATCAGTGATGGGGTGCACTTGACTCCCGTCGGTTTGCACATTTTCTGTGATGACATTCGCTGCAGCATAAGTTCATCATAAGTTAAGTTATCTGGTACTTTCATTGGCAAACTTGGTGGAGTCCTCCTGGTTTTTTTCCCACCATAATTTTAACATTATCAATTCTACCAAAACATAACATGACATAACACTTTCTACCTTATTTCGGTGTGGATGGCGCAGCACTTTCAGTGCTCGGTGGCGAGGTTCGGGGCGGACGCGGGACCGATCTCTCGCTCGATTTATACTTCGCTGCTGCTGCTAGGCTGTCTATTTTCCAATAGAGGCTACTTCCAACCTTCGGGTGGTCAAAATAGCATTTGAAACATCGCCGCTACCTGTCTCGTCTGTTCAGGGTCCAACGGAGAGCAGGTCATTAAATCGCTTTGGCTTGGCCCTGCGTCCGCCTTCGCCTTCCACACCTGGCCTTTGTAAATCCAATTCTCTACTTTGTTATCAATTTGTTTTTACATAGTTTATAGGAGAGTCGGACAATAATTCCATTTAGCATTATTTGGCTAAATGTCGTTATTGTACGCGCCATGCATTTCCTGAATTCCTACAATTATTCTCATTCTACTGACAATTACATATAATTTCTTTACAGCAAACACAATAAATTCCTCTTAACAAAACACGTGCTCATGTTTACAAACACCGAAAGATGTGCATTTCATCACATCCGCTTACATTACGTCATCACACAATTGGAGACGTCATCATAATATTTATATTACGTCACTTTCTTTCATTCCTCCGCCATTTTAGATAACCGTCATTTTATCAACCACTTGTTAGCAATTTCATTTTATCATCTTTTTCTCAGTTTCCCTCCCACCCTCCCCATGTTTGCCAAACCGTTTTATTCTATCACTTTCCTGCAACTTAAATCAGGCTTCTCTTCTCAAACTTCCAAATACTGCAACTGTTATCAACCCTATCTCTATGTTACATAACCTTAATCTCTTTACCCACAGATTTCATCCTAAATGGTTTAACTTTGTTGTACAATTAGAGTGAATTAAAATGACGTCAGGTGGCGAGGTTCGGGGCGGACGCGGGACCGATCTCTCGCTCGATTTATACTTCGCTGCTGCTGCTAGGCTGTCTATTTTCCAATAGAGGCTACTTCCAACCTTCGGGTGGTCAAAATAGCATTTGAAACATCGCCGCTACCTGTCTCGTCTGTTCAGGGTCCAACGGAGAGCAGGTCATTAAATCGCTTTGGCTTGGCCCTGCGTCCGCCTTCGCCTTCCACACCTGGCCTTTGTAAATCCAATTCTCTACTTTGTTATCAATTTGTTTTTTACATAGTTTATAGGAGAGTCGGACAATAACAAGTAGCAAGGTTAGCTAATAAAATGCTGGATTTACAATGGACATTAAATGATTAAATTTTATATCATGAAATCATTATTTGAATTATTAATACAAGCATAAATGGTTACTGGCAAAACGGACACCTTCACAGGTCCCCCAAAATGTGGACTTGTCGCTAGGGTTGACCCAAAGGATGGGTGCGTCAGGCTCGGTAACTCGGTTGATTGCATGTCACTGGATTGTCTGGTCCAGACTCAGGCCGCCGCCAAATTGTTGCAATATAGATAGTAATCCATTGTGTTTGCATTTCGTAAAACATATAACTGTATGTGGGGGTGGTGGGGTAGCCTAGTGGTTAAAGCGTTTGCTCGTCACGCCCAAGACCCGGGTTCGATTCTCCACATGGGTACAATGTGTGAAGCCTATTTTGGTGTCCCGCGCCGTGATCAGAGCTACAGATAACGTTTTGGGTCATTGAGTCATGTACTCGCTTGTGTTCATCTCAATTGGGTATCGTAAGGTAATAAATTGTACTCACCTCACTGAAACACAATTGGGTATTTTGCCATTTTCCATTAATTGTAAGAAAAAAATAATACAGTTTTAATTTTCTATAATATGAGAAACGATCAGAAAGACTGCATGTCCTGAAATAGAACCTCT